ATTAGCACTTAGCACTGGCCATTTTAAAAGAAACAAGTATATCATAAAAAATATAAGATCATGTTCATTTTGCACGTTATAGCATGTACATAAGAGGATCGATAACGCTGCAGGAATAAGCCATGCGGACGAGGACACTTTACGTAAGCTCGGATTCACAACGAATACTCTCACAAAGCAGTCGTACATTTGTTTACTAAACACAAACATCCAGGACGTGAGAGCCATTTCGGTATACATCATTGGGAACATATCTAAGGAAATGGGCGTGAAATATCTTGTGTCGTCGGTGAAAAAATGTGCAATATCGTAGCAGTAACCAACCCCAGTGTAGAAGAATCTTGCTGTCATAAATTGTATGAGCAATTGGTTTTTATAATTTTGCCTCCATTCATTGTAGAGTAGGGCTGTCAATAGCAGAAGCACCAAGGCTATGACAGAGAGTACCATTCCGATAGTACTGCACGTGAAAGTAAGTATTGTCAGAAAGGTTGCATTATTATATGCAACAGTGGACATTGCGCTTATCATCAAAAACTCCATTTTTCTTCTTCTTACTTTTCCTATTCAAAAGCTATCTGATGCCAAGTAAGACTATTTTTCTTTATTAATTCACTAAAAGATGAAGTCATGCATTTTATGTCACTCCTGAAGGTAAGCAAATCGAATGTCTTCATATTTTTAGCGGGATGAATAGTATATTATTTACATAGTAATTTCTATTTAATTCCAAGTATAGGGATAATAGAGTACACACGACACTCGCGGTTACAATATTTTGTAGAATGAGCTATAATTTGGTTGTAAACATGTGATAAGCAGCTTTATCAATAAAAGATTAGAGCGTGCTTCAAAAAATTAATAAATAAATTCTCATCGTACTTATTAACTTGCCTCAGTAACCAATAAAAGCTCTTTAAAAGCTCTACCTAGTAAAATTAGTCATTGGATAATTTTTAAATAAAGTTTAATCTATAGGTACATATAATAAAATTGTAACTAAGCCGAATCTGTACATTAAATATTTTTTGGAAAATCTTATTGAAATAAACATTATTATCGATACAGAGGCCGAATATATAGTTTTTAGCATTTTGTCTGCTTGTTTGTCTGTCTATCTGTTACCGCATCACGGAAAAACCACTGGACGGATTTTGATGAAATTTGGTATGATGCCAGTAGAGGCGCCAGTAATGCGCGTCGACGGCGCCTCAAAAAATCGTGTGCATTGGTAGTAGGCACCCATGCTTTAGACATCCATGACGATAACTTGGGTCAACATATTATTCGCGAGTTATAATATAAACTATTAAAATATAATGAACTATGTGAGTTTTGTTGTTTTCAGAACGTTTATTACCTAATACAGCTTTCATATTATATTTCAATAGCCCGATACAGTTTACTGTTTAGTTAGGTTCGTAATTAATATGAACTAGTAGTGTTTATCGGCTGATCAAACAAACCTATCGGTGCAACAAACTTCCTATCGGTCGTTATTATTAACGCTCTATTATAATACATTTTCATATGAATTATAAGCCCAAATAAAGTATTACTAGAAATAAAACCTATGGTATGCAATGGCTCTTACAAAACATAAGTTTACAATAGGAAGGTAATCTATAAATGGAGGGTAAAATGAAACGAATAGATAAGAAACACAGAGAATATATTTCAGATATAACATCACGACAGGTCCAAAATAAAACTCACTTGAGTGAGAAATAGGAAATCACAAATATATAAAATTCTATACAAATAGTTAACAAGGTGAGTGTCAATTTTCTTACAACCCAGCGTTTGTGTAAACATGACCTTTCAAAGACAATTTTAGATTTTAGCCACAGATTGTCAAACTGTAACCTAATAATATTAAGATTTAAATTGTTTTTTTTTTATAAATGTCAATTACGTATATGTAGATTCAAATTGATTATAATACTTCACTCAATAGAAAATTGAAAATGTGTTATATGAATACTAAAATCTAAAAATTGTCTTTATATTTTAGAAGTATTTGAAGAAAGCATTGCTTGAGACATTGGTGATAGGATATACATGAATAAAACTTAAATAGCCCTAAGCTTATTCATCTACAAGTACGTGCATCTACTTATGAAATATTTATTGCATTTTCTAATTTACATAACATCTAATAATTAAGTTACAAACCACTTCTACAACTTTATATAATATTAAAACATATTTTGTAAAGAAAATTCAATATGATATTTATTGTATCTATTTATTTTCATCTGCTTCATTAAATATTAAATGTAAATATGAAGTAAGCTGTTTTTAAACAATGTTTTATTTTTGAAATAATTTTTCCTGGTTATTTGTTTTTCGTTACTTTATAGCCCACGAAAAACACAAGATTTTTGTTTTTAAAAACATTATCGTAGAATCAAACTTGCAAATAAATAACATATTTAAAAAAAAAAACTATTTATCTATTCAAAAGGAGCAACAATCTAAAAATATCTAAAGCTTATCGCTTAAAACTTTTTTTATTCAGTGTAAAACATCAATAAGTGCTTGCGATCTATCAACGTCACATATTAATGGTTGTTAGTGTAGAAGGAAATTTATCAAACTTTTATAACTGCTACGAGCTTTAAAGCCCAGGGGATATTTTAACATAGTTTTGAAGTTAATTTGATTAATGCTCTATAGACTAGGTGGTAACTAGATTTAATATATAACACTAAGTTATTATAGGGGTAAATTTAATTATGTACTTATATAGAAGTCTTTATAAGGGATCACAGTTTGGGAAACTAGTTCGACATAACCTTAGAACGAAGAGCATGTAGAAATGAATTTACAAATATATAATAAGTTTTCAGAAAAAATATCATCCTTAAATTAGTGTATGAAAAATGATTGGTAAGTTTATTTTGATTGAGTGATTTTGAAATGAAATTTTATTTATTTCAAAAAAACATTTCTAGAAACTCTATATTCTGAGGTCACAACGATCGGGGATATTACATTTAAGCCTATACAACTCAAATATTTAGTCCGGGCAATTTAGACACAAAAATAGTGGTCAAATAACAAAAATTCCCGGAAAGCCAAATATTGGTGGAGAGCTGGGGGTTTACCATTACAAAAAAGTTTTAAAAATCCCCATCGATCCTATGTGTGCTACAAAAGTTATTCGGGGTCAAAGGTCAAAATTTGAGGTTTATTGGATTTTTCTCGGAAACGATAAGTTTTATAAAAAATATATATAAAAGAGACACAAATAGGTATTTATACTTAAGTACCTGATGTATATGTACGTGGCTTATATGTGCATATCATGTATAATGTGACTCTTAGGATCGCGATATCTTAGGAAAAAAATTATAAGGACCATTTTTATAGAAAATCTTAAGATCTACAACTTTGGTTTGAGGTTTTTTTTGATAAAACTTACCGTTTCTGAGAAAAATCCAAAAAACCTAAAATTTAGACCTTTGACCCCAAATAACTTTTGTAGCACACATAGGATCGATGGGGACTTTTAAAACTTTATTTGTAATGTTAAACCCCAGCTCTCCACCAATATTTGGCTTTCCGGGAATTTTTGTTATTTTAAATGTCTATATTGACCGGACTATATTTAGATCATTTCAAAGACAAATTAAAAATTAATAACAATAGTTAAATTTATTTAAATAAATTAATTCTAATAAAATGCACATTTTAAAATAATAACAGATTATTCATTAAATGAAATAAAATTACAATCTAAATAAAGCGTAAAAATTCGTACACATTGAATTCTGAGGAATTAAAACGTCGCGATTAATAATGTTACTATATGCTTTATATCCTATTTTCAATAAGTAACACGAACATGTACCTACTTTATTCTATATAGATCTAAGGACCAGTTTCTCAACAGCGATAGTACCTATATAATTTAAAATATTACAATTAAAAAATACAGTCTAATAATTATTATTATACCAAGCGGTAAATAATAAAAAAATATTATTTCTGGCGTAAACTTACGTAATCAGGTGGTTTAAACAAGATATTATTAAATAATCATTGTAGTATTAAGTATATGAATTTAAAAAATATATATTGAATTTATGTCAATGTCATATTATTATATTATATTATTCCCATATATATATATATATATATATATATATATATATATATATATATATATATATATATATATATATATCATCATATGTATATAATCATTGTAGAATAACATCTTGTTTAAGCACCCAGAGTAATTTTTTTTAAATTATGTTTTTGTTAACACTAATTAAAAATTAACATAGCAATGTAGATTCGTAATAAAGTATTTGAAATAATATCCATAATTTACTAATCGTATATTATTTTTAGAACTGGTCCAAAAACTAAACTAAATCTACAAGATCACATTGCGTAGAGGCTGGAAGTCTAAAATTACTTAGGTACACTAAATCTAACGAAATTACTTCTAGATGACGAGTAAAGGCAGAAACATACCACCATTTTGTGTTAATTACTATTAAATTAATAAAAAAAAACATAGTTTCATTTTTTTTATTTTAGGACTTTCTATTCAAATAGGTTTTAATAGATAACAAAAAATCGTTTTTATTTTCAGCAATGAATTATATCATATGTTACATATAAACAAAATCTTTAAGTAAAAGATTTAAAAATATATTAAGACACGAATACGAGTCCTTCTTGTCAAAACAATATAAATAATATGTTTCTTTCTTTCACATTAGCCTACAGGGTAACAAGCGGAGTTATCAAATATAAACAGTACTTACTAAAATTAGTTTTCTTTGACTCAAACTTGTATTATGATATTTAATTTGTCTAACGAAAGTTTGGGAACGGGTAGAAATATTTGCGCAAATGTTTAAATTACAACGTCAATTTAAGTAATAGAGAATATGCAAACAAATTGAGACCAGCTCGTTAAAAGTGTTTGATAAATCTAATGAGGCGAATAACTGATAGTACTAATCGATATAACTTAATCACTCCACCATGTGTTCTGTAAAGAAGTTTCAATAATTATACATATTTTAATTGATATGTATGTGCATCAGTGGCGAAGGATGAAATTATAGCAGAGTTAAGCCTTTGCTAAAACATAAATTTTTATATATATATACAAAAGAACATTTATACTTTAAAAAAATTAAATACATGTAAAATTATAGCAAAATAGTTTTAAGGTAAGACGTCTTGTATGGACCCTTCGCCACTGATGTGCATTACTTTGGAAATGAATTGAAAATTCTAGGTTTTATTTAAATGAAAACTATTTTATATAGTAAATAAATAAATAAATAATATTAAAAAAAAGCCATACTAACCTTGTTCTTCGACTGGAGTATGATCTTCGTCAGACGAATCCACTTTCTCTATCAGAGAACTTTGCTTAGAAAGGGACTGTAATAAAAGATTTACATTAATTTTATCATTATAGTTATTGAACAGAAAATATAAATAAAGAAATTGTATTGTGAGTTTGTCTTTTAAACTTATGTTTTTAATTATTTTACAGTTTTTATATATAAAGTTACATACAATTACATAATATGCATATATAGATTAAATGTTTGAGGAAAATTCCAAATTAGAGATACACGAGAGTATCGAGGAACGTAAAATTGAATATTAGCCACAAATTTAGATCGAAATCAAAACCTCCGAACGGAAATCATATCAACGATGTTGGCTTCACTCGCGTTCTCCCTACGATACGTTAATTATTTGGGACTGGTTTATACATATGTAACATACTCTTTAGCGTCAAAAATCTAAATTTACATTGAAATATATTCAAATTTTCAATAAAAGAACCAAGAAGTGTTAAAATATGTATGAAAATTACTTATAACATGCATTATAAGTACCAAGAGGTAATAAATAAATATGTAACATTCAATTATAAGGAATATGTAGAGTATTTTAACTTGTTAATAACATAGTATAATATCGTAATTAATTAGTAGTCAAATCCTATATAAAAGAATATTTTTATCGTTCAGCCAACTGATTTTGCCGATTAGCTAGAATTAGGCACAATAATGGAAATATGGCGAATGTCTTCGTTGAAATTTAAGACAAAATATGTGCATATTTTATTATTCACTGAGAATAGGCGAAATATATAAATACGTAATATGCATCGGTATATTTTATCTAAAATTACCAGAGGACCCGACAGACGCTGCGTCCTAATTTAAATAAAGTTTGTGATATTTGAATTCATATAAAAATCCTATGGAAAAAAGCAATTTTGCGGAAAACTTTTCCAATTTTTTTTGCCCTAAAAACTTTATTCGGACCTTTAAGAACATATTAAAAATAATTACGAAAGTCGGTCCGGTCAGTTTTAGTTCCTTTGTTAAGTTATACACTTATCAATGTAGAGAATTTTTATTTATATAATGTACATATGTTTATATTAAATAAGTTCGTCGAAATATTTATGGAAATATAAAATTTCCCTTTGTCGTTAAAATCAAAATTTCTGTCTTGTCTGCGTCTTTCACTATTATTATATTAATTATCACTATAATATTTATATATATATATATATATATATATATATATGTAATAGGACGAGATTTTTTTTTTATTATCATCGACACCCAGGTCAATGAAAAGATTCCCTTCAATCTCCTCCTTTAGAATACTTTATAAGTCACATTCAAAGTTTTCACAGCAAATGAAAGGCAAACAAAAGTGTGGATATTGAATCTGGAGATATTAAAATTATTCACCTTATTGGAACGTCGTCGCGGCGGAGAAATTTTGTTCCACAGGGCTTCCAGTTGATCGAAGTGTTGAGATTGCGCTATGGCGGCCTGCTCGGGGCCGAGGCTCACCTATTTTTATGTTATTAAATATACATAATACACTAGTTATTAATGCGGTTTTCTTACTATTTAGAGGAACCTATATGTAATACACCTAAATAATATTCTAAAATTTCATTTTTAATTTCACTCAGATCAGTTAAAGTAGAACGCACACAAATTACTTAATTTCAGTAATTATATTATTAATATGATATTTTTTTAATGGTATATATACGTTCTATGGTTAACTGAAATATATTACATTTTATTGCATATTACTGATTAAATTAAAAAAAAACAGACGTCTTTTGTTAAATATCTGGTTATTTTAAAGCATTATAAACAACTAACGACTCATTATCGCTCCGCACGTGTTCGTCCCTACTTACGTTTTAACGTTTAGTATAGATTACTCAGAGATATTTTCTCGCAATAAAAAGTATCCTATATGATGACCCATATAAAGAGCTACCGTCATACCAAATTTTATCGAAATTCTAAAAACTGTAGATTCGGCCTCTGTATCGATAATAATGTCTATTTCAATTAAAATTTCAAAAAATATATAAAGGCACAGAATCGGCTTAGTTGCAATTTTATCATATGTATGGATCATAAAGGATTTTATTTTAAAATTATTGTATTTTAAACAACGATTTTATTTTAATATATAAGAAATAAGGACCACGTTCAGCATCCTAGAAAATTTTTGTTATATTTTATTTATGTCGAATGTAAATACGTCGGATTACGTATAGCTTCTGAATTCAGATTCGAATCAGTTAGAAACACTTAAGTTTTATTTCGCCCCAATTTATATTTTCTATTTTAGTCTAGATCTGTAGAAAAATGATCTTCCGCCTGAATTTTCCAATTAAGTACATTCAACAGTCGTTATTTAACATTTACAATTATGTAGGTAGTGCTTTAAGATTATCGTAACATTCCAATAAGTTACTTCAGTATAAAATTGTACTTAAATAAGTAGTATAAAAGTATATTTATACTTATATTTCTTAAAAAAAGGGCATATCTCTCAATTATAAACACACATAAACTTGGTTTTATAAGAAACTGTATGTGACATAAGATAGCTTATAATTTAAAGCAAGTAAATAAATAAAGGACACATATATCATGATATTTTCGTACTTAACTTATGGCAATTTAAATGAGTGTTGCTATAGCTAATTCATGTAGATTATGTTTTCTTACCTGCGAGCCTAAGTCTTTATTTTTCGCCTCTTGTATTTTTGATATTTCTTCCATTGATGCTGATACCGAAAACCTATGGAAAGCCATTTTTATAACGATAACTATTTAATTTAATTTATTATTAACTATCGGCTCATCATCGCTTCGCTCGGTTTTGCCTCTAGAAAAACATAAACAAATCTATCCCACAAGAACCGTACTTTTTTCCGGAATAAAAAGTAGCATATGTGTTATTTTGAAGTATCAGCTATATTATTGTAAAGTTTCATTAAAATCCATTCAGTACTTTTTGCGTGAAAGAGTAACAAAGATCCGTATATCCATACTCACAAACTTACACATTTATAATATTAGTATGGATTTACTTTTTTTAAATTAATACATAATAACTTCAACAATTATTAAGAAGTTCCCAATTTATTACAATTTCTAGAGCAATTACTAGCAGTTACGATATAAACATTTATATATTACTTTTTAAAGAAAATATTTATCAAACACTTAATTAAAACTTCTTATTGAATGTAATTTATTTTCTGTAATAAATATTATTGTATAGTAATTACCGTCGTTTCAAACGTTCGTCCACTTGTGCCATCATAGCTGCTGAAGTAAGATGACCGTATTTCTTCTGCCACGTGTATGTGTCTAACGATACTTCCTTCTTTAGTAATCTCTTCATTGGACGCTTTGGCGCTAGCGGTCGCAATTCTAGTTAAAAAAATCAAAAAAAAAAACATTAATTTTTTTCATGAAAAGTTGAATTACAACGTACATATAATAATTTAATATGCACTATAAGTATAATAATAATAATATCTTTCCGACCGATTTCGACCATGATGGCCAACATCGCCAACTTCTCAACTCCAGGCTACTAATGAGAATATATTAATTAGTAGTCGTCTACAAAATCGTAAGACATTCTGTCTTCCCAACGCGAGAACTAATGTAATAAGTACTCGCACTTATTCCGCACGTGTTCAGCGTACGATGCTATTCGCTTTAAATTAGATATTTTCAATGACACCTCTCTACGTAAAAAAATTAAGCAAATTGTTTAGTTTAGAAGCTGTTGTTAGTCATTCATATTTTTTTAGTTTTTTTAGTTATTGTTAATACTAAATTTTGTTTGTATATGCATGCTGTGTCTGCATCTAGAAAAATCCAATCCTGTATATTAATGTTGCAAGCTATTGTTATTGTTTTAGTTATTGATTGGCATTTGTTTTGTAGACCAATAATCATAAATAAATAAATAAAACAGAAAAACTCAGTAATTAAACAAGTATTTAACTTAGCCCCACCCGGGACTTGAACCCAGGACCTCCACATCTATAGCTGTACATGCTAGCTACTAGACTACAAGTATAATATAGCATTCACTATGATATAGGTACAGATAAGAGTTACAATAAAGAATTTTTAAACTGGTTTCGTTCGAAAATTGCAACTATACTCTTAAAACCATAAGTAATAAAATGGAATATTCTAGTGCCTCTTGTTGGAATTGCCTGTCAGACACTTAGGTATAGTTCTATTACGAGGCCAAGATCGGTTTAGTTTCGAAAGTAAATACATCAAGTTGTAGAAACTTATTATTAAATTAATAGTGATATATTACTTCAGATACATTGTGAATATAAAAGTATTAATTCAGATATTAAACGCTTAACTTTGCTTCAACTATATTTAAGGCATGTTTTCAAATTACGATTTTCTGCCTAATCTTTTGTAGTAATTATAAATTATATGTAAATATGTTGGGACATTATCACAACATCATCTAGTTCCATGGTAAGCTATGAGGCTTGTATTATGGGTACCATATAATTGATACACTTCACATATATAACTTTAAATACATACATATTATAAATATAAACACCCATGACTGAAGTACAAACATGTTCTTCACACAAATGAATGCCCTCAGCGGGACTTGAACTCGCGACCGCTGGCACAGCAAGTACTACAAACTGAGCCTCACGTGTCGTCAATTGCATAAAAAATAATCTTTATGAATAGTTCAACTAAACCAACCTAAACCTTTCTAGAGTATTATCAGAATATTATATGTAAAATATACAATAGTTTTACATATTAAAATGAATGATTACGATATTATTTTCATAATAATTTATAGAATTTATAGTTCCCATTATTGTCCCTTTTGTTATATTTTTAATAATAAGCTATGTTTTCTCTGTATTTCTTTTTTACGTTGTTTTTTTAATTGAAATATAAATATTAATTTTGTTTTAAATATTTTTATTTGACCTTAACTGTATATACCTACTGTAATATTCATTTTTTTTATTTTAATTTTTTTAGGTTTGTTATAATTATATTGATTTGAGCGTGATCAGATATTATAATTGGACAGCAAAATGATATTTTACCTTTGTTTTAGATTTATATACCTATTTCAAAAATTTTAATTTGTGTTTTCTTTCTGTGTCTAAAATATAAAATACACATGCATAAGTATATAAAAATAGTATTATAATTAATTATTTACCATCGACATCCTTAGTAGGTGCAGCGTAGGTCGGTATCTTGACGTAGGTTGCCGGCGTATTGTGTAGGCAGATAATCGGCAAGCAACCTGTTGATGATTATATACATGTACAGTTGTTTGAACAAGGAAAGCTAAGTATTATTTAGCTCTCGTATTCCGATACCATAGTTTGAATTGGGAATGTGCTGCTTTTGTTTGCTTTATAATTATCAAAGGCTTAACTCAAAAGACATACATACTACTTCTGTCAACAACTGCGAGCACTAAAAACTGTGACAGAAATTATATTTAAGATATATAATTTTTTATGGTATTTGATGAAATTTTGTATTTGAAGGCGTATGATTAAATTATACACCAATATTATAAAGCTAGATTGCTAGATGAGAGCTTAGTTATTAAAGTTTTAATCTTTTACATATTACTCACGTAATAAATGTTTCAATTTGGACCAATCAAAAAAAAAGGAAGCTAATGGCTAAAAGCGAAAAGTTCCGGTGTATCTTAATCAATTGTAAATTCATGATTCATAGTTTTTAATTAAGACTGGTCTCATATTCATTTCAAGAATACGGAGGCATTGAATTCCAAATTTCCAAGTGAATATGAATTCCAAGGTATTTTAATAATTGCAAAATATAGTTAAAATTAAAAAAAAATTGCGAAATGTATCGTTCCAATCGTATTGTTCAAATAAGAGGTACCTGATTATAATTAAAGCTCAAGATTTAAATTTATTAAGAATAAGTATAGCTTAAACTTATGTAGATCTTATATTAATAGCTTTAAAATTAAATCCACATAATCACTAACTTTATTTCTTTTTAAATTCGCTTACTAATAATCATTTATAATGAAACCATATACCGTATACCATACATTCCAACAGAAAGCTCTGAATTCCAACAAAATTATACTTATTTGAATTTATATAAAAGCGTATTTTATCCCAGAATAAAAGGATTCTCATTTTTTCCCTCCGCAAAATAGTGGACAGATCGTGCCGTTGAATAGTAATGAAAATGCATTCATCGAAATCGAATTGAATATCTCTGATGATATTTCTTTGGAAAGTGCAAATATTAAAGCACTTTTTATACAAATATGAAATGTAAACTAAAATAAATTCTTGTTTATTTGTTATTACGCAGTAAAATTTCAGATGAAAGACTCATGGCAGTAGGTATTATACGAAAAAATTATGATGAAAATATGTATAATTAGAATTTATAAGAAAATTTTTCATCAACATATTAATATACATGTTTCAGAATTCATATAGTATAATATATTTATAATTCGGGTATGTTACATTAAAGAATAATTTTTAAAGCAAAAAGAAATCTATACTAATATTATAAAGAGGCAGAGTTTGTTTCTTTGGACGTGCTAATCTCAGAAACTACTAATCCGATTTGAAAAACTCTTTTTGCATTAGATAACCTGTTTATTGAGGAAGACTATAGGTTATATATCATCATGAGACTACCCAAGGAAGCGGAGCAGTAATATAATATACTAGAGACTCGCCATCGCTTCGCTGATCGCTCGGGTTCGTCCCTAACTTGCTTCCCAATACAAACTTTCATCCCCATTTTCACCCCCTTAAGGGGTGATTCCCGGGATAAAAAGTATTCTATGTCCTTCCCAGGGTCTCAAACTATCTTCTTACCAAATTTCATCTAAATCGATTCAGTAAATCCAGAGATTACCCCTTACAACGTCACAAACTCACAAACTTTACTTCTTTATAATAGTAGTATAGATAGTCTATCTATTTCATACTAATCGTTAAAACGTACCTAGGGACGAACCCAAGCAAAGGAGGGTGAGCCGCTAGTATAATATAATTAGATAAGATTGATCGTAGCATTAAAAGTGTTTGAATCAGTTTTTAACAAAACTGTCGATCAGATATATTGTTTTACATGATTCTTTTAGATAAAGACTTTATTGTTAGATGAGCTTAACTAAATTATGTGAGAATTTCAAACAAAAAAAATGCGCTGATAATTTTCAATTTATAATAAATACTATAACAATCCACTATTTATAATAAAATGTACAATATTTATATTTTCAGATATAAAGAAAGCTTATATTTCAATACATTACCTCTATCCAAAAGATGTACGACAATTCTTGAACAGTCACTGGTTATTTGAAAGCCCAGAAGAGGAACGTGCAGTGAAAGAGAAGTCAGTGCTAAGCCTCGTTTTGTTTCCCAAATAATAAGGGTTTTGTCTTCCGCACCTAGTTGAAAAAATGAACAAATGAATTATTATTATTATAGTTATGTTATACCTACCAGTGGAGTATTTAATTGATACTTTAGTTCAAAAATATATGTCACTATGAGACTCGGGTAAAAGAAAGCTCTATATGTGATGTAATTTTAGAGGAATTTAAAGTGATAAACACTTTGGAAGATTTGTTGTATGCATATATTTTACTTAAAGTATAAATAAAGCTTTTTATCCCCTAGTTTCGAGGATAAATGAGGGTAATTCCCAAGTTTTGTACATTTCTAGCTTATGCGTTATTCTAGGTTATATCTGTGTACTAAATTACAAGTCTAGCTGCAACACACACAAACACATACAAATTTAACATACAATATTATATACATACATACTTTATACTTTCGCATTTATGATAGTAGAACAACAGATTTACCTTTTTTTTTTCTAAATAAGATGGCTATCTTACTACTACAGACTTACCAGAAACTGCAATAGATCCGTCTCCAGTGACTTTTACACATGTGACTTTACCCAAGTGTCCCGATAATAAATGAACATCAGAGCCGGTATTTATATCCCATACGATCAAATTGTAATCCCATGATCCCGATACTACTTGAGTTTTGTTTGTTATTGACACGGCAACACACGTTACTATATCCGAGTGGCCCACTAGAACCTACAAAATCGATATTACAAACAGATATATAAACTCGTAATAAAAACTTCGAAACTGTGAAATTATAATAGGTTTGGTTTATATACAAATAAAACCCACTGTATAATAATTATTATTGGTTATTATATTAAAACTACAAAGTTAACAACCCTTATTCCATTTTTAAGGGTAATTTTGGTAGCGGTTTTAGTTTAATGTTAAACCAAAAATTTCTTAATGATATTCTGAATGAATGCCTATTCAGAAAAAGAAACCATGAAAAATGGTTTATAATAGACGAAAATATCATATAATTTATATAGGACTCGTCAAAACGAATTAAACTTGCTAATGGCCATTGAAAAGTTCCAATATTTACCAAGCTTTATTATCAAGTCAGTTTAATGTTACCAAATTATATTGTCTTCTATATTTATATACAAAGTATTGTTACGATATGAGTATTAGAAGTAGGTTAATTTCGACTTCCAATGATTACGTCGTTATCAATGAAGTTAATGATAAGGGCGTGTTAATTTTTTTTAATTTAATCATTTATTTTACAAAAAGATTTTAAATATGTTACTAATTGTTAATTTAACTAGCTGGTTAAAAATGTAATAGTTTAATGAACTACATTACCGTCTATGAAGACATTTATGATATATGTACATGATAGACGCATCTGGAGCTGAAATTATTTAGCTCTAAATACGTGGAAAGTCATACTAATATTAGAAATAAAAGTAACTGATTTATCTCCTTTCTGCGAGAAATTTCATCAGAGTCTGTTCAGCAGTTTTGTAAAAAAATGATCGCGTTATGGTAAAGGACAGCCGCGAAAACAACAAAAAAAACCTTTAAATATATTTTTTTCTAGTTTAGTACCCATTACATGAATACTGTACGATCAATGTCTTTTTACTGGAAGAAAAAGTTCTCAAAAAGGTGGACTTCTTTATTTGACCCAGTTTCAAAGTTTTCTTAAGAATTTAAAGCTATATTTATTGGTCCTCGACTTATAACTTTAACGACATTGGTAGTTGACATAACGCCAAATACTCGCATTCCACTTTTGCGTTTGATAGCCTTCCTTAACTTTCAAAAAGATTTTATTCATGAAAATAGTTTACGACGTGATATTTTTAAAGTTATTTATATGAAGTTATTATTTCATATTCATATATTATGTACACTTAAAATTATGTGTCTATCTTTAACAATCGCGTAATACCTGAGACTCATAATTATGCTTTATGAAACATGTATAGTAATATTTAAAAAAAAAAACACCTCTGGAGTTGACAAAACACAATTTATTTCAATAAGGTACAGGTAAGGTATGTTTATTACCACTAAAGCTATACGGATAGCACTAATATTTTACGACGTCGTGAAGTAAATACTCGTAGCATTAGATAGGTACTCTATTTAAGTAGAACATAAAATATTGTTGGGAATATTAAGAATTATGAGAAATCTTATTTATATCCTTACCTGGGATAATTTTCCACCGTGTAGTTGCCAGACTTTAAGTGACATATCCATCGAGCCGGTAACAACATGTTGGGAGTCTGCTGTCAAAGCAAAGCACGTGACTCGTTCCGCATGAGATATGGAACGCTTTTCCTCCCCACTGTCCCCTTCGGCTAAAGCCCAGATGCGGACTGAGTTGTCTCCGTCAGAAAGGACCTGAGGAGATATACTATATATAAAACTAATACTTTAAATTATAAATGCGGAATTTCGTCTTTTCTAAAGTAATATGGACGTGCTAAGTAACAATTTTTCTAAGAATTTTTGAGTACTTGAGGTTTATATTATGTAAGCTAAAAACTAAGTATTCATTAAAAAATGTATAATTTACTATACGGGTAAAAGTCTTACTTATGTCTATTCAAGTATTATTAAGATAGACAGGTAGATTTCTGTATCATTCAGTACATGTTTTCCCAAAATGCTGCTTGTTAGCGAACCGTGTATGTATTACCTAACCAGACCAATAGGCTATAATATTTAATTATGTTTAAATAAAGTAGCAGTGGTAGCTCATTGGTAAAACGCTTGGTTTAAAAACCAAGTTACGCGAGTTCAAGACCCGTCTTAAGCATGTGCAAATCATTATCAGCATGTTGTGGTGACTTGATTTGAGGCCAATTTCCGCGAAGGAAAAAGAAAATCGATTAACAAGTAAAGAAGACAATGGTACTGAACTATTTTGTTGCCCATTTATACATATATGTACTAGCGACTTACGCTTGCGTCGTGTTCGTCCCTAGTTAAGTTTCAATTTTTTTGAGCGGAAGCCGATACTTTTTCTAAAATAAAAATTTAAATGTCGAAATTTGTCGAAATTCGAAGTCGATGTGCTTTGATTGGTATCGGCTGGGTCCGACTTCGAAAATATCTGATTAGATATTTATAGTAAATGAAAACTACCAATCATACCTGATTGGTAGTTTTTTTATTTTTTAGTGTTTTTTTTGAAGTCGGTTTTTATTTATTTTTTAAAGATTTTATTTTTCCATTTTTAGTGTGGACATAGTGGTAGCAAAATAAGAAGAAAGTATTTTAAAAGTTAAAAACCAATCATCTCCTATTTTTTTTTATTGGATCTTTTTGGTATAAACAACTCTTTCAAACAAAAAAGAATTGTGCAAATCCGTCCATATATGACAGAGTTATGCCCGAACATACATAATCCTTTTTTGAAGACGGTTAATAAAATTAGCCTAAGTTACTCCTTATAACATCGGCTATCTGCCAGTGAAAGTCCCGACAAAATCGGTCCAGGCGTTTCGTAGATTAGCCGGAACAGACAGATAGACAAAAATATAAAAAAATGACTTTTTCTTATAAGTACCGTATGTAATTTCATATGCCTTTAGTAAATGTTATTGTGACTGTTATTTTGACATTACAATGAGACACTTCAATTTTATTTATCTGTATAGATATGTTATAACGCAAAATAAACTTAGCAGATACTATTAGTTAAACTAAATTGTTTGTTAAATTGAAAGCGGATCCCAAGCTATCAGGTCATCCGTGTGTAATCTATTATGAAAGATTAAAGATTCTGTGAACAAAAGGATAATCGAAACAGGATCTTCAAATTCTAATCCGAGGAAAACGTGACAGAGTTTCATTTAACGATTCGCTACGAGACAGCGTGTCTTTTTAAGTTTTCCTTAATGGAAAAAGTTTTAGGAATGACAATTACGATGAGGATGACATTCAAAAGGTCCTCAAACTTGTACAAAAAAGCTTTAACTCTTGATCATTGTGTTTAAGGAGGGTACATAGCTACAAATTCAATATTACACAATTTTATTTAAATTAAGATGTATGAAGACATAATACTTTCTTAGATTTACGCGAATATTTGACATCTATACATATAATAAAATTGTAACCAAGCCGAATCTGTACATTAAATATTTTTTTGAAAATCTTATTGCAATAGACATTATTATCGATACAGAGGCCGAATCTATAGTTTTTAGAATTTTTGTCTGTCTGTCTGTTACCGCATCACGGAAAGACCACCGGAGGGATATAGATGAAATTTTGTATGATGGTAGCTGGTTACCCGGTTCGACATATAGGATACTTTTTCCTGCGGTAAAATATCTCATTTCTGAGAAAAAATACAAAAAACTGTATTGTAAGAGTTTACTAATATGTAAAACCTAAGAATTTGGTTTTTGGTCGTCTAAACGCGGGCGAAGCCGCGGGCAATGCTAGTTTATTTATATAAATTTCTAACTTATGACAAACTTCTATATAAATTTTCATTATGTAATCAGTCCCTTTAGGGGATGAATATTCAAAAATTCAAAGTAGAAATTCTGTTTTATATTCTAAATGTAACATAGTTTAGATGACTAAGTTATAGCTTCAAAAATGTCTCAGAGAAATTTTGCCTGACTGTATGAAATAACTGCGATGAATATTAATTTTTGTATCGCCGTAAAATTTTGTAATTTAATTTTATTCTGCCTACATATTATTACGATACGTTTGGCTCAGTTTGTACTTTGTAGTGACCCTACTTGCTGTGCCTGCGGTCGCAGGTTCGAGTCCCGCTGTCATTTATGTGGTGTTTGTACTCCAATCATGAATGTGTGTATTTAAAATATGTATGTATTTAAAGTTATATATGTGTAGTGTATCAACTATCTGGTATCCATAACACAAGTCTCGCAGCTTACCATGGAACTAGATGGTGCTGTTTGTTAATGTCCCAACGTATTTATATTACATATTTCCTTCTATACATTATTATTACCCTAACCTAGTGTATTTCAATAGCAAATTTCAATCATCATACCGTTAAGTCCAAAGATGCAACATTGTGATATTCTCTTCAATAAACACATTAAACATTGATACCTCGATGTTGATTTACGGATCGAATGATGTATTTACAGTCTTTGCTGTAAAATTTATGAGCGGTAAAAGCACTTGAATCTAAATACTATCGTCCAATAAAAAATGATATACGAGTACATATTTGCTAACTACATGGGTGTCTTTTTAGCGAAATTATTTATTTATTATTCAGCACACTTACAGTATACAATTACCCGAGACAATTCAATACAATAATTAAAGTAAAAGAAAAGAAACAGACAGACAGACTCGCATATCAATTACAAGTGTACATAGGACTTACGTAATTTTAGCACGTAGGTACTTTCACACAGGTTGTTACGGAAATATTTACCGAGCTTGTACATTGTACATATAATATACACACATGTATGTAGATTTATAAAATACTGTAATGCCACTATAGTCTATATACATATAGGTAATAATATTGTAACCAAGCCGAATCTGTACATTAAATATTTTTTGGAAAATATTATTGAAATAGACATTATTATCGATACAGAGGCCGAATCTAGTTTTTAGAATTCTTGTTTGTCTGACTGTCTGTTACCGCATCAGGGAAAAACAACCAGAGAGATTTTGATGAAATTTGGAATGATGATAGCTGGTTACCCGGGTCAACATATAGGATACTTTTTACTGCGGTAAAATATCTTATTTCTGAGAAAAAATACAAAAACTGCATTGTAAGAGTATACTAATATGTAAAACCTAAGAATTTGGTTTTTGGTCATCTGAACGCGGGCGTAGCCGCGAGCAATGCTAGTTGGTTCATAATACCTTATGCATTAGAATAAAAAATATCGTTATGACCTAAAAATTACGTTGCACATTATAACCGAACAATAAACATATATTGAAGTGTACAACATCACACTTATTGTATCGTATTTTTGAGCCTGAATATAACATATGTACATTTTTATAAATATTTAATCAATTCAATTCTCTTGTTAGCTTCAAAGTGTGCCCTTAAACATTTAAATAATAATACTCATGTTATTAGCAAATAAACCCTAATAGAAGATGAAGAATTTAGAGATAATAAGGAAAATATATAAGAAGAAGCCAGTAAAGAAGAATATAAAGATTTGTTGAATATTCTATATTGTTATACCGTGTCGTATTTAAGCGGCAATAAGCATTTTTAGAAGAAGAAGAAGAATAAAAATAAGACAAAAAAATCTTACCGAGTACTTCATATTGAGTGTAACATCAACGCTAGTGCTGGGCGCTGTGACCGAGTGCAGCACTATGCCGGAGTCCACGAGCCACACGTGAACGTTGCGCGCGCGGTCTCCGGACATCGCGCGACGACCGTCAGACATCATGAGGAGAGTTTGTAGGGCCGATTGATGACCCTGGTTGTTTTAAAATCATATGATTAGTAGGTGTAATACGTTCTATTCTGCCCTTTTTAACATCCCACTGCTGGGCACGGACCTACTTTCAATATGAGGGGGATCAGGCCATAGTCCACCACACTGGCCAACTGCGAGGGTTGTCTGCCGAAAACCGGCTAGGTTCTCCCAGGCATGCAGTTTAACTCACTATGTTTTCCTTTACCGTGTAATACGTAATACTACGAAATCTTTACCTTCACATAAGTTGGTAGCTATTTTAAATTAGCAACTTAGAAAAAAATTAAAATATAGAATCTAAGATCTACTTTTTAATATTCAACCTTATAAAGAATAAAGGAGGACGTCGTGTAAAACACATGTAGCCGTTCGAAGCCCCTTAAGCTTCAGGACTTAAGCTATTAGTAATAAGTGAGACTTGGAAATTTCATGTCTAAAATCGAAATAAAAAAGAGGATACTTTGCTTTGATTTATTTTTGAAGATTTGTATTAGAAAAAGTAGCAAAATATAATATACTTTCGAAGTTTTAATTTGAATTTATTAAAAAACTTGTCGCTGTAAACTACCATAATAGAAAGTGTCAACCCCCTTTATGCTGTTAAGCTTATCTTAATGAAATTTGACAGACATTAATTAACCCATGAAACTTAGACCGTATAAATCAATTACTATAATATAGATTTACATAGGTATATATAATTTATAAATACCATTCATCTATAGATATTAATAAAAAATAATAAAAATAAATATTTATCTTTATTAATATCTAACTTACCTCGTGGTGTATAATATCATAAGTTATAAAAAGTACAAAATAGTTTAAAAATTAAACACAAACCTTATAAGTGCGAGATGGTGAATTATCATCCAATTGCCACACAACAACAGTCCTATCTTCCGAACCACTGAGTACCAATAGATTATTCGGACTAAAAGTGACACAAGTGATGTGGCCCATGTGTCCACTAAACGTTGCTTGTAGGCGGTGGGTGGAAAGTTGCCAAACTCGGACCAAACCGCGGGCACACCCGCTGGCCGCGAGCTGACCGTCCCTGGACACTTCTAAACAACTAATCGGGATTAACTCACTTTGTTCCGCCTGTGGACAAAATATTTTGTTAATCCCAACTTTAGTTAACTAAATATAACTAATGTTGCGTGTTGATTTTGGCGGAATATGAAACTTATGTCTAATTAAATAATTTATGTAAATTACATTGTGTAGAATTTAATTCAGTGATTGACAAAACAAGATTTTAGTAAGACGTATCATCCATATTTATAATAAATCAAGCAATGAATATCTATAGTGTACTATAGATTTGGCACGCCTCTTGCAGGAACTTGCAGACCCTAGACCGTGCCGCACAAGCCCTACCGTAGTAGGGTAAATATGGAACTGCTTAATTTATAAATAAAGTTTTCACTATAATAAAGCTACAAACCTGTAATAACGTAACGTTTGTTGTTGATTTTGTTTGCCGTCGTTTCATCTGTTTCGTTGGCCTAAAGTTTGTCAAGTTATCCTCAGTGTGGAATGAATATATAGTCACTCTATTGCCACCTAAAACAGCATCATTTATGATTCGATAATGAAAACAATTTATATGTTTATAAATTTTAATATTTTTTATTTAGATACTTATAATTAATTAATCGACAGTATTATAAAGGTTGGCCCTGCTTACTTTCCTTGGAAATCAGTAACTCAAATGCTTGCGAATGAAAACAAACTCAATGCTCAGCTCAGGACATAAGGTTTAATAATAATCTGGCATGTATAAATGCGTAGATTTTAAGTCGTACTACTTACTATAAAGTTAGGAATGGATTATTATAGATACAATATCATATCGTAAACTTTAGGTACGAAAGTATGTCTTACCAGCAGCTAACAGAAAATGATCCTTGTCAGCAATAGCTAAAGCAGCCAGATCATGAGCAGCCGCCAAAGTACGTAATAACTGAGCAGTGTGCAAACTGTATATATAAATCCGTTGATCAGCGCAACCAACAGCCACTCTAGAGGAATCGTGTCCCACACAGAAACATTTCACCTAAAATCCATAAAAAATTAAAAAGTAAACAAATATTTCATTCAGTTAATGACTCAAAGAAACATTCCGATAAACAAATCAGGTAAAGTTCATAACATAAAAATTATAAAGTTTTTGAAGAGAAGTTTATTTCATGCTCAGATGTTGTTTAAAAAGTTTGGAGAACAAGCAATAATAAACCCCGTGAATTGAGATATGTATCAAATTACAGAACCAAATTTAACGAGTATTAGATTATGGACTTTACTTTACCATAGAAATGTAGCATAAATAATTCTATATACATATGTGTACATATATGGTGTGTAACAAATCGTAGGATTTATGGACTCGTTAGATTCCAATCAACCTTTTCAGACCTATATCAATCAAGGAATATTTACAATATAATATGAGCAATTTATTTCTCTTATAATTATTCTAATTTTACATATTCTTAATATGTAAAATTAGAATAATTATTTGAAAAATCAAAGTAATTAAGATTTTTTAATATATGCGTTCTTTCCTAAACCACTTTACAGAACTAAAAAAAATGTAAGGTAGGCTGGTCTAGGAATACGCACTTAAGGTTCAAACAGTTCTAATATTAAATTAAATATCTCTAGGTAGTCAGCTTAATTTTTATTTTGTACTTAATAATCACATCTTTCATAAAGCAACATTAAATGTAACAAAAATATATAAAATCTTTAGAAAAAGAAAAAAAAATAACAGAAATGATAATTGTGTTCTCATACAAGAGCTATTGGATAAGAGTACGCAGGAAAAATTTTCTCATAATTCGTGTCATGTAGCTCGTACAAGCATGAAGCCACCACTCCTAGCATTTGGAACATACTATACAATCAGCATTTTGAGATCCATTCATACTTCACCACATGGTGGGCATTTCCACATTTTCTTTTTTTGTGTCTTCTTTAGAACTTGGGAAAGTTTTTCAGCTTTCTTAGTAGTAAGTTTCGCAATCCTTTTGGGTTTCTTTTTTTGGTTACTATTTTTGAGGCCAAAGTGTGAAAAAATTAACTGCCTCTAAAGTGCAGTGGGACGTGTATATATATATATATATATATATATATATATATATATATATATATATATATATATATATATATATATATATATATAATAGTATGGATCAATGTCTTTATGTTTATACTCTTGTACCATACTTAAGTACGTACTCATGCACATATTCGCGGTTTTTTAATCGAGCAAAGCGCAACTCCATCTATTAGCATAGATCGGAATCGTTCTAGTTGTGACCCCTAGGTGAATTTCTTGCCGATCAAGCCGCACAATCGTGTTTTTCAAAATATTTGTAGTTTTATCGCAAATACATTTACAAAGTGCTAAAATTATTTAAAAAAACAGTTAAAAATGTTTGCATTTACGTAATTTCCGTGTTTTTGTGGGGTTTTCTCTTTTTTTCACATAGCACTTCTCACTAGCTTACACTTTAAAATAACTCTGAAATTAGCCGCTGATCGTAAACAACGTCGTGGCTACTGGCACTGCGTACTCTTATCGGATGCGTACTCTTAGACCAGCCTATCCTATACACATTTGTGTACATATATGGTGTGTAACAAATCGTAGGATTTATCGACTCGTTAGATTTCAATCAACCTTTTCAGACCTATATCAATCGCCAACTCGCGGACAAAAGCTGATCATGTCCAAATGTAATAAGAGAAAATCGTCTAAGGGCACTTACTAGAAATTGAGTGTAATTTATATCATTCTATACCAAAATGTAAGTAAGAGCTAAAACAATTTAGTGATTCTCCATTACAACGTCCAAAGAGGGTCGTGAAGAGTATTTTGCGTAACCTTTGCTCATTATAACGAAATTCGCCTTGTTAAATAGATACTTGACGGTTCTTACACAGAATTTAATTAGAAGATTGATTTTTTGTATGTTTTTAGTTTCGAAACTTCGGGAGTGAATATAGTATAGTAGATAGCACGTATATAAAATAAGTTTATAATCTGTAGATTTTCACGTTACAATCATGGTTTGTGGATATTTTTGAATAAATTCCTGCGATTAAATGTTCTGCGAAGTGTTTCAGTGTCAATTACAATAACTATGTTACGTTATGTTTAGAACTCATTGTTTGTATTTCGTTTTGTAGAAAATAAAATATTATAATTTATTATGAGAATTATTTTACAATGGAATGAATATATGACGATCTTTAGAATAGACCACTGTCTATTCTAAAGATCGTCATATATGTACCAAAAATGTACCAAAATGCAATGTACCAAAAATAATTGGATCCACATTTTGTAGCTATTGAATCTACAATCGAGAAAATGGGGACTATTAAGAAAATGGTAGCGTAATTGGATTACGTATTTTAAGTAATAAAGAAAGAGGAAATAACATTTAAGGGGTTTCTCCTGAGATTTTGTTGAATATTAAGGACTCATTAACATATTTTATTATATTGAATTACAAGTCAAGGGTTAAAACGTAGTAATCTATATAAATAAAAATGAAATGCTGTTTGTTGGTAGGCGTATTATGTATTCAGAACGGGTGGATTGATTTGGCACATTTTTTAGTAGAAAAAGTGCTTATAAGGTTTTAGGGAAAAAACTGGAAAAGTTACACGGAAAATTTTTAAATTCCAGGAAAATGAACTCAAAGCATAATCGCAAATTTAAATTTATTGAGGACAGGATAGCATATTTTAGGTCAGAAAGTTTGAAATAAAAATGCTATAACTATTTTATGTATTGAAAATAAAAATTACAAACAATTTTACCCATATTTTTGACATGTGCAAGCTCTTTGATATGTGCAAAGTCTGTGATTCTACAATTTTAGCTATTTAATATAAACGTAAAATTTTCCGCTAATCCGCAATGCAGCGTGGCAAGCCTTGAAGCACTTAGAAAAAATTACAAGCATTCATACTTTTAAATTTAAGACTTATATAACAGACTGCATTGGCAAGTTTGCATCATGAAAATCAGTATAATGGATCAATTTTATACATTTTGTATAAATTATAAACAGAATAACATCATTTTCAAATAAAATTTTGTGCTCCTTTAGTGGACCATAGTTTTAATAGGTACTAAGCCGAGTCTGTATATTAAATATTTTTTGGAAAATCTTATTGAAATAGACTTTATTATCGATACAGAGGCCAAATCTATAGTTTTTAGAATGTTTGTCTGTCTGTCTGTCTGTCTGTCTGTTTGTCTGTCTGAAAAACCACTAGAGGGATTTTAATGAAATTTGGTATGATAATAGCTAGTTACCCGGGTCAACATATAGGATACTTTTTACCACGGGAAAATATCTCATTTCCGAGAAAAATACAAAAACTGTAATGTAAGAGTATACTGATATGTCAAACCTAAGAATTTGGTTTTTGGTCATCTGAACGCGGGTGGAGCCGCGGGCAATGCTAGTTTTATATATGTTTACATTTATATTTTACTGTGAAGAGGTACGAGAAATATAACAGCTATTAAATGCAGTTTTAGTCCGAAGCGTTGTGTTGTCGGGAAAGGATTGCAACTACTTTTCTATTGTTAGTCTTTAGTGAAATGTCTTCTGCACAGCGAATCCGCTTGTGGATTTGAGATATTTGAAAGGATTTATTGACTTCAGTTTTCTATTCTATATAAAATGTATCCCGATTGATTCTCTACTTTTGTGCTAAATGTCATATCCCATATGTGGCGTGTTTTTTTACGAATTTAAAGTATTTCTGGATGATTAATAAAATAAATTTCATAAACATAAAATAAAATTATAAAAATATTAACGTAAAACAGGATTAAGATACATGTCTATAAATTTTCTTTTTTATAAAATATTATTAAAAGTAAAAATAAAACATTTATTTTAATTGAACAAAGTCCCTCTGCGCACTAACTTGAAGTAGCACTTGTTAAAATCACTTTATTATATCTCTTTTCTATTTAATTTATGAGTAAAAGTAGAATAGCTGAACTTATGACTGAAAAATATTTTAGTAAATATTACATTGACGACTAATTAATTCAACAAAACACAAGAAATTATATTTGGTTTTTTATAATTAAGTTAACGCCATCGATTTTAAATAAAAATGTTATATACTCATTAGTTTAACACTAAAGTTTTGCACCAAACAGTACCAAATAAAATTAAGCGATAATAATAAAATTTGTTAAACAATAACTTTCACCTTCACCGGTGGTAGGGCTCTGTCAAACCTGAGGAGTCCGACTGGATGAGTACCACCCACTTATCTATTTCCCCCGCCAAGCAGTTTGAAGGATAAGGTAGCCAGCGCTATTACAGACAAGACGCATATCATCATAGTCCTCACAGTGACAACGCATCTGCGGTTTTGCAGTTTTGTAACATAAAACCTAAGTGCATGAACCGTAGGTGTTATGGGAGACAGGTACCGCTTTCTATCAGATCGACTGTCTGCTCGTTTGTCACTGAATACCATAAAAAAAATCTTACCTTAGCTTTATGCCGCTTCAATACATGCAAGTAGGTCCCAGTTATAAATGTTCGTATATGCAATTCATTTTCTCCCTGTAATGTGACCAAGAATACATTGTCTTCAGTGACTTCCATTGCGTGTACAGGAACTCCGGCCGACACAGTGCTTAGTAGAGTAAAATTATCTACATTCCATGTACATACTGTGCCGTCTTGGGAACATGTCACTAAGATATCACCGTCTAGGATCACTTTGAGTGTCGTTATAGGACCTCGATGATGATCAAGTTTTGTTACCTACGAATAAAATTTAAATATAATTTTTATATTAACGTTGACGACCGCTGTCAAAGTAGGATTTAGGTGTGGGTGCTATGGGACAATGGGAAATTGCTTATTTGGAATAAATTTTAAAATAAATGATAAACTTTTTTCATTTTTTGAATATATTTTTTTAAATCACAAAGCTCTTTTAATAAATATGACATTAAGATATCACTCAAAACCAAAAACTTGTGGGTTTTACTTTTTACTAATATCGGAGCCAGTTTGAAAAATATGAACAGAAAATTATATTAAAACTTAGTTTAAAACACTGTGAACGATTAATAAATCACTATACTACAGTTCTAGTTTCAAATTATATTTGTTAAATAATAATAAAAACGATTTTTTTAATATTTCCTTTTTTCATTCTTAGCTAGATACTTAGTCTACTTTTTTATATTGGAATAAAATGTATTTTTGTCGTTTAAGTACGCCTCTATGAAGCCAACCAATTTTTTTTATTAATAATTAAAAATAGATGTAAAATATTTAAAATGTATTAATATATGTTCCTAGAGTAACTTACCAAAGCCCCATCAACTAGTGATGTGACAATGACAGCGGAGTCTTCACCCCCACTAATAACCAAGGAGCGGTTTACTATTGCCGCTACACAAAGTACAGGAGCTATGTGTTCCCTGTGTAAAAAATATTTGAAAATGTAGTTTATTTATTGAGTAAAAAAGGGAAAAACAATAATTTAAATAAAATATATATTTTATCAACTTAATTAACGTTGTTTGAAGTAATTTTATAATCATTTTAATTATTTTTTATTGAATTAATTTTATAATTAAAACCTGAATAGGTTTTAATTAAAAACGAATAATTAATATTTTTAATAGGTATACTTTGAGCTGTCGATGAGCTTTAAAAGCTCTGATATACAAATAAAGACATATATTTTGTTGTAAATATTTGTATTAAGGAAGATTATTTGCAATAAGAATAAAAAAATCTACCACTTAAAAGTTACCAAGTTAAAAAAAGAATACATAGAATTCTCACTAACAAAGCTACGGCTGGCTGGTACAGAAGTTAGGGAACTTTTGTTTGCAATAGTTACAAAAGCCACTGGTCGTTTCTACATAACTATGTATTTAGCTTTGTAATATCCATGATAAATTATTCGTTTAAAAAATATTAATTGAAGCAATAGTATTATAATTATGATATATTAAAACTATAAATAAATATGTTAGGACATAAACATACATCACCATCCAGTTCCATGATAAGCTACGAGGTTGGTGTTATGGACACCAGATAGTTGATACACTACACATATATAACTTTAAATATATATAATTATAATTAACGTAGGTTTACTTAAATACAAAGTATAGATGTATGTCCATTTATATCATGAATATAAAATTCTTCATAGACTTTTATGAGTGACCTCTTGAAATACTGAAACAGTGCTTACTAAATGCCAACACTAAGTACAGACAGTGTAATAATAGTTAAAACTTTGTTTAAAACTCGGTAGTTTGCATAGTTCAGTGTTTTAGTGTTAAATTTCAAGCAAAAGGAAAAGCTTATAATTAATTATATAACTTGTCTCTAACTGATACCGCTAATATATTTACTAAATGATGGTAACTAAGTATAAGCGGAATTTCCAAGCAAAGTTCTCAAGTCAACATGCAAACCCATTAAATTGTGGATACTGATGATGTATTATGTTACAATGCGAGCTCCAACGAGGGTGAGCATTACTGGCAGGCACGTTCTAGTTTCTTCGGAGATCTATTTGTTAGTATACTCGGGTAAAGTCTATGTGATATTTTATATTTGTAAAATCTTTGTTAGGTTGTAGGTATATGATAAAACTTGAACAGAATAAATTTCCATAGCATTCAGTTAAAGATGTTATGTTTTTTTATAGTATTTAAGGCAAACGTGTTGTAGATATGTAGTGAGAGAAAACGACAATCTTCTACTCTTATTACTCGATTATATTTTGTGAGTATTATAATAATTTTTTTATTGTATGTAAATCTTTGAGTGGCATTTGCATGAAAAAGAAAACACTAAGCAATAATAATTCAAAGAACAACATTACTTTAAAAATGATCATGGGTGTCAGTTTATGAATCTCTTAACTGGAGTAACACTTATACTATTGTTAGGCAACTAAGAACATACCTAAGCAAAGCAAGAGAGATTCGCTAGTTTTAATACAAATTTAATCTATGAAGATATAAAAAATAATATAACTTACAAGATTTTCGTCTTAATAGCTAAAGTGTGTAAGTCCCACACAATGACGCTCGTATCTTCGGAGCCGGTGAGCAGGTATTGTGATTCGCGCGTGACGCACATACACAATATCCGGCCGGAGTGACCTGGAAATAGCTTTGTCGTTATGGCTTTTGATGTTGCTAAATTACCTAAGCCTTAGTAATAAAGTTGATTGTAACAAAAGATTAGTGCTTATTAAAGATATTTGGGAAGAAGACGATAATTATGAATTTATTTATTAATAAAATTATGTTATCTATACGTATAAATAAAATTAAAGTGTCTGTTTATAATTACAAAATAACAGCGTTTCACTAAATGCATATAAAATTATATACGGTACTTATGAGAAAAACACAAGTTTTATTTTTTTGTCTATCTGTTTGTTCTGGCTAATCTCCGAAACGGCTGGACTGATTATGACTGGATTTTCACTGGCAGATAGCTGATGTTATAAGGAGTAACTTAGGCTATTGTTATTCTAGAATAAGAATAAGGGTCCTGTTTAAAAAAATGAAAACCTAACTACCTAGTAATAGTAACCAATTTAAAGTCCTAAGTGTAAAGCTATTTAAGCTTTTGATAGGAATATCTTAATAATCGTTGTCTTGTAGATGGCACAATAGTATTTAACCGAAGCCTGGTTGTACTACCTTGTATGTTACAGATTGGAATCTTGCGTATGCTTTATGCGATGTCTATTCTTGTTTAAAAATAAACTGGAAACATAAAACTCGTCATTTAATATCTATTGTCGCACATTGCAAAGTAAAGGTTGTATAACGTTTACATTACATTAACGTGTAATAAGAAAATATCGATTTACAACGATTTCAATTTGCCTCCAGGTGTATGCCAAAAACTCTTTGCACAGAGAATAATTAGAAAATCGTGAGTATTGCTCTCCAAATAAGAAGTGTAATAGCACTGATGTCTAAGTAAGTTAAATATTGTATAAGATGTTTTTTCGCTTATTTAGACACTAGCAGCTCACCCTCGCTTCGCTCGGGTTCACCTCTAGAAAAACAAAACCAAACTATCCCACGGGAACAGTACATTTTTCCGGGATAAAAAGCTTATGTGTTACTCCAGACTATAATCTATCTGTGTGCCAAATTTCATCCAAATCCATTCAGTCGTTCTGGCGTGAAAGAGTAACAAACATCCATACTCACAAACTTACACATTTATAATATTTATACAGATTATTCGTAACGGTAGGTGCAGTTTTGTTCGTCAGTTACCAACAGGGTTTATTTTACAGTAATATAAAACTTTAAAGGTGATTTATTGAATGGAGTTAAAACTTTGTTGAAAGATAGTTAGGAACTTAAAATGTCAGATAGTTAGCCTTAATAGTGAAAGGTTGTCATTATTGACTGCAAATATTTAAGCAAATATCTAAGCTACGTTTAATTAGGAAGAAAATCAAAACCATCTTTAAAGGGAGATGTACATTTTTGTGGTCATTTTTAACCCCCGACGCAAAATATTATAATATAAGTTTGACGTCGATGTCTCTCTCTCTCTCTCTCTCTCTGTGTGTGTGTGTGTATGTGTGTGCGTGCGTGCGTGCGTGCGTGCGCGCGCGCGCGCGTGCGTGAGTGTGTGTGTGTATCTGTCTGTGGCAGCGTAGTTCTCAAACGGATGGACCGATTTCGATGCGGTTTTTTTCATTTGAAAGCCAGTTTTCTTGCGGTGGTTCTTGGCTATTTTTGGTTATTATCGGTCCAGCAGTGTAAGAGTATCAGCTCTTTTCCAAAATGATGTAAGAAAATTTGGCGTATGATTACTCGATTAGTGCTTCACGTGTGCTAGTGTAATCGTTAAATGACAATTTGCGTAGGGGATTTTTAATTTTTTTAACTTTATTAGAATAATGTCGACATCACAGACTTTTTATAAATGTCAGGTGTAGTGAAATGAGGTACGAAACCCGGGGTTGAAACCGCATTACTTGGCTTTCCAAGCGAGTGGGCTTCTAACAGGCTGCTACTGAAGTCTAATCCGTCACTGTTTCCTATTAAAGAGAAAATTTTATATGTATGTAAAACCTGTGCAAAAAAAGGTTTTTAGTATCCAGTTTTATATAATTGACTAGAGATTTACACTCGCTTCGCTCAGGTGAGTTCCTAGCTACGTTTTATGTTTTTGAGCGGGACACTAATTCTTTTTCTAAAATGAAAGTAGCCTAAGTTACTCCTTATAACCTGTCGTGTGTACGTCTGTCTTGTAACTTTCATTCCCATTTTTATCTCCTTAATGGATGATTTCCGGGATAAAAAGTATCCTATGTCCTTCCCAGGGTCTCAAAATATCTTCTTACCAAATTTTATCTAAATCGGTTCAGTAGATCCAGAGATTACCCCCTACAACGTCACAAACTCACAAACTTTACCTCTTTATAATATTAGTATAGATAATAAATGTAATCACAAAATCAAATCAATAAAATTAAAAAAAAATTAAATAAATGTAATTACAAAGATCTATCCTTATATCGAAGTCACAAGTTCCACAGCTGGCGAAGTAAATAAGGACCAAAACCTTCGATATTAATCAATTAAATTTAATATCGTTCACTTACAGTTTCAGGCAAACAGATCTGCTTAATAATAATAGAGGATCGCCATTAATTATTTAACCGTTATTACAAACTCTTCAGTAATAACGACCTGCTATATGTTCAATTCTGACTCTATTTTCGATCGATAGGAAATGTTTGATCAATACGTTTTTTTTTTAGGTAGAAATGTTACACGGTATCTTTGTAAATTTTCATAATTTTTTATAATAAGCATGTACCTTGTAATTGAAGGAATTGAATATTTTCACGCGAAAAAGTAGATAATTATCAAATCTAATAAATTTTCTACATAAAAAAATTAACAGTCAAAGGTCAACAAAGGTTAAATAGGGGACAGTGTAACAAAAAAGTAATTTTTATTTTTAGAAATAAAAAAACCATCTTCTTATTATTTACCATAAAATATACAGTCTTTAACTTCCTATTAGGCTTGAATGAATATTAAAATTACATTTAGAAATTCTTATTTTGTAATTTTCTGAGATCACAAATTTGTTATATTGTGCCCCAGGGGTACACCAGCGGTACACCGTACAGTATAACAGAAGGTTAAATATACATCAAACGAAATAAAATATAGAAAATGAAAACCTTTATAACCTTTTTTGCGTTTTTATATTCTGAGTAATCTTAATAATAAATTGGTAACATAATAAAATGGAAAAAATTAAAAGTTGATTGTTCTTCATACGAGTGTATTCGCTTTTGCAAGTCAGCAAGCTTGAGTTGCGTTCAATTTTTACCCTCGTATATGATCACATCAAGTTATCAACGTGGAATATAGGTTCCACTTACTATGGCACTTTACTATACTATAACTTGATGTACCGGGGCAGCATATATAACTCCGGGCTTAAATTAACAAGGAACAAAACTCATTTGTATACATAATAAGTATGGTATTGAGGTACAAAGTGTGCTTTAGTTTTTTGGAGAGAGATAGGTATTATAGATAGATGTTTTCGATTATTGTATATATATATAGGGCAATATTTTTACCTACTAATACACTTTTAGTTACGTCTATTGTACGCATAGTTTATTGTTCTATTGTTAACTTTAATGCTTCATCATAATTGCTAATGGAGTCTGTAATTTATATCAGACTTGTAATCTAAAATCCAAACAACACGTATTCCTCACACAGCAAATTACATATTGATTTATTCGACCATTTTCATTTTTACGCAGGTGTGCACAAGGCCCTGCTACAGATTACGTCGAAAATAATTATTGGCAAATCGTGAGTTCTCTCTGGCTTTTAAGAAATTTAATGATAAGAATTTTAACAATAATCGCTTCGAGACGAATCGATATTCTGATTTTACTTTGATGTATACTTACTTTTGGTGCTGTGTGACCCTTGGGGGATTTATGCCCTTGTTATAGTACTTTGAATTGTAATCTTAAGTTAAGATATTTTGTATAAATGGTTTCTATAGCGGCGTTCAATAGAAATGACCTCTGATTAAAACTACTTTGATAACTGCAATATGCATTAGAATATTATAAATTATGTATAATATGTATTGTAATTTGTTTAATACTAGCGACTAACCCTCGCTCCGCTCGGGTTTGTCCCTATTTACGTTTTAATGTTTAGTATAGATTTCTCATAGATCAGATATTTTTCTGCAGTAAAAAAATGTTGACCCGGATTTCCAGCCATTATCATACCAAATTTCATCAAAATCGCTCCAGTGGTTTTTCTGTGATGCGGTCACAGACAGACAGACAAAAATTCTGAAAACTATAGAATCGGCCTCTGTATTTTCCAAAAAATATTTAATGTACAGATTCGGCTTGGTTACAATTTTATTATACGTATAGATTATTTGGAAGCTGTAATCTTGAAGAACTACAAACTTGATTATAATAAGGATTATTTAGTTTTAAATAAGAAAGTTAATGAAGGAGAACTCCTCCACTAAGAAGAGCACTATGCTATCATTACCTCCGAATATCAAATACCTAATAGAGAGATATTCAATAGTCTCAAAGTATATAAAAGTTTTACTAGGTAACAGGTATAATATTTTTACGTTCATAGAATAATGTCTGATTCGGGAACGAGGTCACCGTTGCCCATCTATCTGTGCCAAATATAATATAAATAAATTTAGCTTTGTTGATTGTACAAGCTGAATGAAAATTTCCATGGAATTAAAACAACTATACTTTGGGAGAAAATGACTTCTTTCTTTAGGCCTTAAAGTTTTTCAAATTCAAATTCAAAATATTTTATTTAGCATTAAATTATTTCAATTTTTTACTGAACGTCATGAGTCTTAGTATTAATGTTATGCATTCACTTCTTGGGAAATTCGTGTATATTTTTACGAATATACACAACACTTTTGTACACGTACTGAAAAGCAACAGTCAACATTTTTATTTCTTTAAACCTATCTCTTAGTGACACTCTAGGAGTAAAACTTAAAAGCTTCGTCGTCATTCGTCAACAGTAGTATTGTTGATCGAAGCTTAAAAGTAATAATTGCTCGAATAACTATTTTCTGCGGCATAATATTGTGCAGTCGCAGATATACTCGTACATATATATATATATATATATATATATATATATATATATATATATATATATATTAATATATGTACATACAGGTCAAACACATAACCTTCCTTTGGGTAAAAAAAAGATTTTTTGATTAGGACATAGGTACATACATTATTATGTCTATATGGTAGATAAAACAATTCGCTGTATGCATAGAAAGCTGCCGTGTAATGGCATAAGGGGATTTTGCTTGTTAATTAAGGTACTCGTACGTGGGACAACGAACAACGATTAATATTGTTGCTTCTATAGAGAAAATGCGTGTACCAAATGCGCAAATAACTTTTTCCTGGTTTTGTTTAATTTATTTCTTTAATGACGGATTAAATCTAAAATCCAACGAGAGCAATTTTGTTTCCAAGTTTAACTTGCCGTAAAAATTATTCGTGGTCAACCCTTTTCATATCGTATTTCTAATGAGTTTTGCTAATCTTTTCAAGTGAATATCCAGGGTTATTATACGGGGTTTTCGGAAATGAGAAAAGGCCTCTTCAATTGGACAATTTAGAGGTCTTTGAATGACAATCTACGAGTTTTTCAAAGCTAGCAGATATTTTCATGTCATAAAATGTTATTTATTTAAAGTGGACTTTTACTGCAAACTAGCAATTCACCCTCGCTCCGCTCAGATTCGTCCCTATTTACGTTTTGAGATTTAGTATAGACTTCTCAGAGAGGACATATTTTACCGCAATAAAAAGTATCCTATATGTTGACCCGGAAAACCAGCTATCATCATACAAAATTCGAAATGACAGACAGACAAAAATTCTAAAAACTATAGATTCGGTCTCTGTATCGATAATAATATCTATTTCAATAATAGTTTCCAAAAAATATTCAATGTACAGATTCGGCTTAGTTACAATTTTTTATATGTATAGAAGACAAAACTTTTTTCAAACATTTTCTATTATTTAAGGGGCTCCGATCGCGTGGTACGTCGATAAAAAGCATATATAAACTATCTTCATTTCGTATTTTCATCTGTTGAGCCGTTACGGAAAGGACACATACACAAATTTTTGCCTTTATAATATTCGTTGGTTTTATATTAATTAACCAATTATTTACCTATTGCCAATTAACAAAGCAAAATACGATTTTAATTGAAACTTTGTAAGCAGCAAACAAGAGAAGAAGAAAAAACGGTTTTATTTAATAAAACAGAATTGCCAAGTAATGCCGACGAAGGATGTTGGCACGTTAATTAAGTGTACGTGAAAAGCGTAAACCAAGTTTTATGTTACACAGCGCAATACAGAAGATAGAAATCAAAAGAAGTGCCTAGGATTTTTGTAAGTTTCCATATTAAATACACATTTCTTTCTGAAATTAATCAGTACATTCGTAGAATTTTTTATTATGTATACATATAAAATTACATGTTATGATAGACTGTCTTATGAGTTATGTCTAGACAAAATTTCTAGGTCTAAAAGGGATGATATGATAATGATGCCTCATATTCGCTTGGTAGTACGTGATTAGTTAAGATTTTATTTCTCTTTGACATGTAATTACTAATGATTTTTTAGTATATTATTGTTTGGAATATTAGTAATTCATTTTCTTCAATACAATTAATGACATAAATAAATATGTTGGGACATTAACACATAGCACAATCTAATTCTATTAGTAAATTACGAGATTTTTGTTATGGATACCAAATAGTTGATATACTACACGTCATATATAACTTTAAATACATACATATTATAAATATAAACACCCATGACTGGAGTACAAAAAGTCGTGCTTATCACAAAAATGAATGCCCCCAGCGGGACTCAAACCCACGACCACTGGCACAGCAAGTAGGTTCACTACGAACTGAGCCAAACGTGGCTTCAGAAATAATGTGTATAGATATTGGTATTTTTCATATTGCAGAACATTACAGCAGATTTAGAGTTGCAAAGTTTGTATGCGAAGGTGAAACCCGGGTTCTAGTTAATTTTATTTTAAAATTTTAAAATAAATGTATGCATTGAAGAATAAGACAGTATTTATTCAGATATTGTCAGTATTAATGCATAATCAGTGAAATAATATGACGTAGCGATCGATTACTGAGCAAGAGACAATAATTTGGTTAGTAAATTATTCATAGTAGTTACATATACATTACCGATATGAAACGAACCATATTGGACTTATAAAATGAGACGTAGTGGACTCGTGTACTGTTGACAAAGCATTACTGCCTTTATTGCATTGTGATATATCATAAATTATTTTCAGTACTTTTGGTTATTTAGTCACTAGGCAAAACGGAAAACGGTAGGGGGTTGAAAAACGTGTGCATTATATTAAACGAGCAGTTTTGTATAGATAATAATAATAATAATACCTTTATTGACGTAAATACAAAAGGGTTACAAGACATTTATTTTTAAACTATATAATTAGCACAATCTTTGTTTAGGTATACTAACGTCTGAACTAGGCCGAGCCTGTATCTCAGACGCTAGCCTCTTCCTATTACACAATTTGTTTATTGCTAATAAATTAAATGTAACATAATTCTAAAAATATATATGTTATACAATGTAAACAATTTCTAGATACATCAGCGTAGGTACTTGTTTAATTTACTAAAAACATCTAGTCGTCATAGCCACCGGTCCGCATACCGTCATATGCAATAGGGCATAGATATAAAAATATTTCGTGTATTTCGGAAACGGCTCTAACGATTTGGATCAAATTTTGTATTTAGATAAGGCTTTGCTTTTAAGTTTATGTACATAGGTGTTTTTTCTGAAAAGACGCAATTTTTATATCTTGACCAAAAAACGCCTAGCGAAGGTCGGTCGCTTAGGTAGGTACTATAGATGAGTGGCGGCTTTGCCCGCGTGTCCTGCTAAAAATCTACAATTAAATTATTATTAAATTATTTCATACAAAATTTAGCATTCGCAATTTTTCAATTTTTAATTTTACCATTCGCTTACTCTTTTAAACTTGGCCAGATGCTAGAACTTTAAAGTTCAGAAGGTGCAAAAAACATATTTTTATTTTTGTATGAAAATAAAAATTTAAGAAATATTATTTTTTCTTGTTACAGATGTTGCTGTTATGATGTAAATAGTATATTCCCAAAAGGTTTTCAATAAATTAAAAATGACCCTGTATATGTTCAATAACTCCTATAATAATTGACAAACCTTTAATATCAATCACTTACCTTTAAAAGTGTGTACTTTGGAGTTTGACATGACATGCCATAACTGCGGGTCTCCAGCCGAAGGAGCTAATACCAGATGTTGTCCAGAGGGTGCGAGTTGCAGAAGTCGGACCCCAGCACCTGGGGTTGAACCCCCTACGGACACCACACGGACCGTTGACGCTATCGGTGGATGTAACCTGGTAAAGAAAATAACGTTGGAAATTTATCTATGTTCGAAATAAAATCAATAGTGCCTGTAATATTCAAATGTAATATAATACATCATTAATCGGATTTTAATTTCAGATCTTACGTAAATAATTGACGCATAACCCATAACTTCAACAATTTTTTCTAATACCAAGTTCTTATTCTTATCTTATGCCGCGTTAAAATTAAATAACGTAAATCCAGTTTTGGCTTCTGTTTAGATGTTATACTTTATCTAGTTTAATCTGTATGTATTGATTTAGCTTTGGATTTTGTGAAATAAATAATCACCGAATATAAATTCTAAGGAAATTTAAACACAAAGCGGCAACAGTCTGATCTCAAAGTCAGATATTAAATTAAAAGTTTGTTGTTATCGTTTACAAGTATATTTAATGAAAGTTAAATGTTCGTTGGGAGAGCATGACTGGAGGACGGCTAGACAAATTTGGCTGATTTCTTTTAATATTTTAAAGTTCGAGTAAGGTAAAAAGTTTGGAAAAGTCGCCCGGAAAGTTCGAGTTAAATTGAAAATGCTTTTTTATATAATTTTTATATGACTTCAAAGATCATAAACAAATAATTTACAAGACATAGTCGAACCAGTTAGTTCGTAATAAAACTGCAATTAAGTATGTACGAGTATTTACAAAACTTCACTCACGTTTAAAGTAAACTGAGCAGCGTTTATTATTATATTTGTTATTATTAAAACATGAAAAACCGTAATTCCCATAACCGTCCGTAATTCACATACGCCCTTAACGATCGCTATAATGATCAAGGCAATTTCCCAAACGGACCTCACCTAGTACTGTTGAAAGGGTCGAGTTAATGAGAGTGATAAACAAAACGATTAATAATTTGATTACAATCCCATTCTTTTCGACAAGCTTGCAATGAATTGGTGGCAATAGCACACCTCGTTATCGCCGTAGATCACGCTACCTTATTTCGTTTATTTTCGACCTGCTCTCGCTTTAGTCAGGTGTAAAGTATTCAATAAACATCACGTAATATATAAAGACCTACTTACTTAAAGTATTGTATTTAGTTCAATAATAAATATATAGAATATTTGAGGTAGGCATTGCACACAACAAAACACACGTACAAACACATATACTTATACTCATATGTGTATTATAAATAACTATCGACTCACCCTCGCTTCGCTCGGGTTCGTCATTAGGTACGTTATAACTTCTAGTATGGAATAGATAGACTGTATGTTATAGTACATATGTACTATAATATTTATATAGACTTTACACGTACAAACACAAATACACTATAGTCTATCTATTCTATACTAACCGTTGAAACGTACTTAGGGAAGAACCTGAGCGAAGCGATGGTGAGTCGCTAGTTTAAGAATAAATACGATAGATACGACAAATTATTAACGACTTTATTTGAAAAGGAGTGAACTAGTATAAAGTTTTTAATTTATATACTTATCGATGTTGTTAGAATAAATAATATTTTTCTAAACTATGTATTGTAAAGCTAACAGATAATCTTTATTTATTTGGTTGATGACAAAATGGACACAATTCACATAAACACCTTTATGATATTGATGAGGCACAGAAAGTTAATAAGAAAGATAAATAAAACGATTAGTGAGTTAATTGTAGGGCTGTTCTGTATGGATTGGGGGCAGTTCTGTATGGAGTCTATTAGATTATTATACGGTTTTCCTGGTTCAAACTATTATCGTTTGTTTGGTTTTTGTCGGCGTTAAATAGAATGTAACTTAATGTAGTTGGATCACTAAACAATATTCATAGATAGACGATATTAAGATCTTAATATATGCATTAGTCAATAATATGTATATTTAGTGAAAATTTAAAAATGTAAATCTTAATAAAGAAAATGAATTCCAGTTTCTAGATGAATAAAGTATTGATAAGAAAACACAAGCGGAAGATATTAAGTAGCAAAAAAAAATTATAACTATAAATCCATAGTGCTATTTTAAGGATTGTACTAGACCATTCTATTTACTACATGCTGTTATTTGAATAATATCTCTCCTACGTTATACTATATTTATCTATACTAATATTATAAAGAGGTAAAGTTTGTGAGTTTGTGAGTTGTGAGTTTGTGACGTTGTAATGTGTAATCTCTAGATCTACTGAACCGATTTAGATGAAATTCGGTAAGAAAATAGTTTGATACCCTAGGAAGGACATAAAATACTTTTTATCCCAGAAATCATCCTTTAAGGGAGTGAAAATGGGTATGAAAGTTGGTATGGGGAAGCAAGCTAGGGGCGAACCCGAGCAAACCGAGGGTGAGTCGCTATTTATATTATAAAAGTTAATACGTATTATGTATCTATATTTAGTCTTATAACATATGTAACAACCTATTTCTTACTTTAATTTAGCGTCGCATTTAACTTTACCAAGAAACGTGAGCCAACGCTTCAGTTAAGTATTTACGAACAAAGGATACGTACGGGTAACAGGTGCGGCGTGTTTTGGGGCTGCGGCGAAAACTACCACAACCTCTATAAACTAAAATGTATACTTATATCTGCCTCTATAGATAATACGAGAATGGCTTCAATGGGAAGGCTGTATTGTGAAAAGGGCTTTTATATTTTCCTTTGCGGTAAAATTCGCTTGAACAAATCTAAAGCTTTTAAGTCTCACATATAGGTAGTTGATTTACGCTTTGTCAGGACTTTAATAGCAGTCTAAATTACTTTTAAATATTTTTTTATAGTTTTATAGTATTTTAGGTACTTGCCTTTGTTTTAAAAAACTTCTCTTAATTCCATTTCTTTCCTTGCTTGATCGTATCATATTAAGGTGGGTATGTAATAATACGTAAGTGTTAAAAGATCATAATTTATACATACATCGAACTCTCTTAGAGAATGTGCTCAGGGTGGGGGTTTAGAACAAATACTTTTACTATAATTAATATACTTTTACTATATAATAATTTAAATTAACTCTAGAATGAATTGACTGAATTAATTTTTTTTTAAATTATGTATTACAATATAAAGACAAATTATATAATATGTCAATTAATTATTGTCAATACAATTTTTCAACTTTTATTGCCGAAAAGGTAATTCTTATAAAGACTCTTACTGAGATAAATTATACTTAATTTGTTTAGATAAATAGGTTTCCGTCCCGGAAATTGAACTCATTACTTGTCAAGTTGTGCATTAACCATTAAATTAATATATTGTTTGACATATACATATATTTTTACTTAATATGTTTATTATTTTGTTTAAATAATTGTAGTACAATTGACTCGACTTTATTTCTCCACTTTAAATGTAATTTTATATTTTACATTATATCGGGTTTCTTTTTAAAATATGTTGGGACATTAATACACATCACCATCTAGTTCTATGGTAAGCTACCAGGCCTGTGTTATGGATACCAGATAGTTGGTACACTACACATGTATAACTTTAAATACATACATATTATAAATACCTATGACTGGAGTACAAACATTCGTCCTCATCTCACAAATGAATGCCCCCAGCGGGACTCGAACCCGCGACCGCAGGCACAGCAAGTAGGGTCACTACAAACTGAGCCACACGCGTTGTCAAATTCGTCGTTTTAGGCTTTAAAGTTTGGTGACTATTGACATAATATTAATAAATGTATAGTTTAATAGTGTCCTCGTGACCGATTTCGGCCGCGGCGACCAATCTCAATGAGACTAGCCAGATGCGAAAGAGATAGGTATTATGGTGTACAATGTATACGCAGACCCAAGTGCACTCTCTATTCCTTTTACTCTCAAAGTCCGATGGGACGATACTTCGACAGGACCGGTGAGAGTTAAGACGCAGATCCGACGAGTTAACGTTCTTTGCGAGGCACTGGGGTGAAACACCGTCAACTTCCTAACTCCGGACTATTACTGAGAATTTCTTGACAGAAATACTCAATAATGGAACTTGGCCACTTGGCTCGACCCAGGGCTCGAACCCAGGACGTCCGGATCTGCGGACGCACATGCTAGACCACAGACTATTTTACCCTCTTAGGGGTATAGTTTTGGAAAACGCTGAAATACGTTACTCATTAATTTTGTCGTACACAATTCATAAGAAATTTCATGCAAATATGTCCAAGGAATAAAAAAGTTTCATACAAACTTTTATCCCCTATTTCACCCCCTTGGGGGTAGAATTTTGAAAAATCCTTCCTTAGTGGATGCCTTCGTTATAAGAGGAATACGTGTGCGAAATTTTAAGTTTCTAGCCCTAAGGGTTTGGCCTGTGCGTTGATACATCAGTCAATTACTATACTATATATATATATATATATATATATATATATATATATATATGTGTATTCTACCTAGTATAGTAGGTATTATATGACCTGTGATTGTTATAACTTTACATGAATGAATTTCCACAGTCATGCACTAGATTTAGTATGAACACTATTGATTCAGTAACAATAGTTTCAGTAGTGGATTGTGAATTAGGACTACCTTTTGTTAAAAAATGTGACTGAATAATACATCAAAAGCTTTTTCTCATTTCGTTTTGATTGATGTACAAAAGAAGAGGTTTTTATAACATGCTTTATTCTGGACTCCGGTATTATACGAGCGAAATATTTGTATTTAGATTACTGTTTCAAATGATACTTTCAAATGCTACTTGAATCTTTTTTAATTTTGTTTTTTTTTAAAATGCTTTAACTGTGTTTATAACTCATATTTGATAAACGTGTATGGGTTATACACTTTTATTGAAATATATGAATATTCTATTTACATACATAATATGTATGCTTCTCTTATCTATTATATGCAAAGAAACAAAGACAAAACTGTTCCGCAAGTTTTTCTTCTCCATTTGTTATTTGGTTATCTTTCTTTGTTAAGTAGCTATTATCGAGCGTTATTTAGTGTTAACAATGTTATCAATAAAAAAAAATTATGGTCAAATTTCGACCACTGGGCGAACACTAGTATTAATAGACACATATATCACAGTATACATTTAAAAATACTCTTCATAAATTATTAAATAAAAAAAACTAATTTTTCTGATTATTTCGCGGATTTCAAAACAATCCAAAAAGATAGTTTTATTTAAAAATGTCAAATATTCGCGTAAATCTAAGAAAGTATAATACTCTTAATCAACTTACTGTTACTGGTTTTAGTACATTTCACTAATGACTCACCCTCGCTTCGCTCGGGTTTGTTCTTAGCTTGCTTCCCAATATAAATTTTCATCCCTATTTTTACCCCTTTAAGGGAGATAAAAAGTATCCTATATCCTTGCGAGGGTCTCAAACTATCTTCTTACCAAATTTCATCTAAATCGGTTCAGTAGATCCAGAGATTACCCCCTACAACTCATAAGCTCACAAACTCACAAACTTTACCTCTTTATAATATTAGTATCTAATACCTATAGATTATTATTGTATTGCATAGACTTCATGCCCAACAATTTCGTATAGACATTTCTATACTTTACAGAGTTTTTCATAAGGAACTATTTATAGGGAAATACTACATGAATTTCACTCGTTAATGTATACGTTATATTTCAGCAATATAAGTTCCTTCCTACTTTTATGAACTTATTTTGAACTAGCGGAATGCTTTGGCTTCTCTCTACGTCTATTTGGTTAATAAATTTCATCAAAATCATCACACATAATATGATCGCGTTAATTTTATTACTACGATTATTGCCCTTAAATAAAATTACAAACAGTATAAAAATATAATATTTATTTAAGTAGCATAACTGCTCAGACTAAGGAATAATATGGACAGAGTTAGAACTAACCATAATCTATACATATAATAAAATTGCAACAGAGCCGAATCTGTACATTAAATATTTTTTGGAAAATCTTATTGAAATAGTCATTATTATCGATACTTTTTACTGCGGGAAAATATCTAATCTCTGAGAAATCTATATAAAACGTCAAAATGTAATCAGAGACGAACCTGAGCGAAGCTAGCGTGAGTCACTAGCCAAATGATGATGTTCTCCCGATCGATTCCGGCCACGGCGGCCAATCTCATTGAGACTAACCAGCTGCGCAGATATTATAGTGCACAAGTGTACGCGCAGACACAAGTGCACTCTCTATTCCTGTCACTCTCATATTCCGGTGGGACGACCACTCGACACGACCGGTGAGAGTTAAGGCGCAGGACCGACGGCTTTACGTGCTCTCCGAGGCACGGGGGTGAAATACCGCCAACTTCCCAACTTCGGGCTGTTACTGAGGCTTACTATACAGAAAGACTCAATAACTAAACTTGGCCCACTACATGCTAGCCACTACACCATCGAGGCAGTGCCAAATAATAATGTTTTAAAATAGTATACAAATGACAATTTGTATACTGAGTAATAAGTAAATAAATATTAATGAATAAAGATAGAAAATAAAAATTAAATAAGCTAATTAAAAGAGAAATAATGTAAAATACAAAAAATATACCTAGTATTATTTTTATTATTCATATTTTATTAACAAAAATTGTAATTTAATTTAACTTATATATAGTTTACAAAAACACCCCTAAATTCTTTAAAGAAAAGGTAAACAACGTGTATGGCAAAATCGAGAATAGTAGCATACCTAAACAGCAAATCACGTCACAAGTCAAAAAATAGTAGATTTTTGACTTTTATATTTATTTTGGCGGATTTTGTCTATCTATATAATTCTTTAGTCTGAGCGTAACTGATACTAACTTACCATCCATTTAGTGGTACGAGCAGAGGCTTGTCATATCCATCACACCACGCCATAGCAGCAGTGACGAGAGTTGCGAGAACACCTCTTCTAGCCACAGCTGGCCGCAGCCACGCTATTATCTACATGACAAAAATTAAATACAACATTTTATTACAATAAATTACTAAAAATTGGAATCATTTACTCAAAAATACTTCTTATTTATGTTTGTTCATATTTCAAAATGGTTCGTGTATGAGTCATTTAATAATTTAATACTATAAAAAAACGTGTGTGTGTACTTATGTACGCACGTAAGAAGTTATACTTCTTTGGCAAATAGCTAAAGATTTCATCCCGTATGTCACAACTCTCTGTTTGTAAAAGGAATGCAGCTAACTTCATCATGTCGCTTTTGGCTGTAAAAATTTTACTCTTATATTTTTTCCAAACGTGAGAAAAGAAGTAAAACTTCAAAAACTTCAAGTGATTTTTAACTTGACTATAATTAATTTGTATTACTTTGATTGAATACTGATTATTGTAAGCCCATAATATAGACAAAAAACAAAAAGCAATATATAGGTACAATATATATAAACGTAAATACATTTTTTCACTAAAATTGGCTTGATAAATGCTTTATAATTGAAAATTTTATTAATGACGAAATTCATAAACCAAGAGGAAATTTTATTATAACAAATAAATAGTTTTGTTTACATAGAACACAGGATCTCTTAAATTTGACGAAGGTATAATCCTATGCAGCTTAAACCTATCAAAGGAGTTTTGAAAAGGAAGTTAGTCGCCAGCAGCAATTTGATTAAAAACTGCCGAGATTGAACTCAATAGGTCAGTAAAGAACTGTCATTATAAAACGAACAATAAAGCGAAAAGAAGTTAAAAACAATAGCATGCTTAACTTGATGTTATTTAAAGTTTGTTTTTTTCTCCAATTGTGGATATTTTAGTTTTTGAATAAGTAATGAATTTTTACTGTATTTTTTTTGTTAACGGTATTAAAATATAAAATACAAGCGACTCACCCTCGCTTCGCTTGGGTTCTTCCCTAGGTTGCTTCCCCATATAACCTTATTATCCCTTTTTTTCTTAAGTGATGATTCCGCGATAAAAACTATCCTATGTCCTTCCCAGGGTATCAAACTATCCTATATAAACGAATTTCATCTAAATCGATTCAGTAGTTTCGAAGCTTATTGGGTACGAACAAACAAACGAATAAATATTTCCTTTTTATAATATTAGAATAGATTAAACATAAATAAATATGTTGGAACATTAACACACAACACCATCTAGTTCCATGGTAAGCTACGAGTTTTGAGTTATGGATACCAGATTGTTGATAATTACACATAATATAACTTTAAATACGTCCATATTATGAATATAAATACCCATTAATGGAGTACAAACATTTGAGCTCATCACCCAATGAATGTCCCCTCGGGATTCGAACCCGCGACCGCTGGCACAGCAAGTGGGTTCACTACAAACTGAGCCAAACATGTCGTCATACATATAATGTTTATATATTGAATTCCATTGCATGCCTTATTAATATTCTAATAATAAAAATAAATATTAAAATTTTTAGGGAAACGAGGTTCACAGTTACTCCAAAAAAAGTTTACTTAATACTTTTTCAAACAAATTGGATGTGAAAGCATTTCCATGCACACGTGAGCTTTATACTTTAAAGCTTTTTGCATATGTCAAATTGCACCTAACTTTTATTAAATTAACAGCAAAATGCATAACTTTATATTTTTGGGATTATCGTAAAACATCCTATATTCTAAATAAATTAAATAAGAGTCCAACATGATGAAGCCCATAAGTAAATTAATTTGTAATAAAAAAGTACGGTAAATTAACGTTTAAATCATAAATAAATTAATCCGGCAATTTTTTATGATCGTGAGTCATTAAAATTTAATAATATGACTAAGGTTTTATATGTTTAATGCAAAAATTTAAAAATCGAATCAAAGAAAGCTCTCAAAAGCTCTTTATGAGAGGTCGAGACTATCATTCAATGGTGAATTCTTAACAAAACACATGAATATATTATTCATTAAAAAACACTGGCGACAAAAGTGAAAAGGGTATAATTTAACGGTATTAAGTGGAGCTTTATTTATACATTTGTCCTTTAAGAGCTCGGGTTATCTCTAGCTATTTAAACTTGGACGGTTTATATAATGCCGTGAGTTAGGACAGGTTTAACTCCGAAACTCCAAAATTAGATAAGTTTGCTGACTTAACGAAATTACGCCGCATTTGCAAAGAAGTCTATTTGGAAACTTAAAACATTGTTTTTTTTTTGAAAATGGGTTGTGATTATAATATAATGAACTATAAAAATATATAATGTGTACATGATATATTATATGAAAAATTACCTCTAGTACCTATGTATTAGACGTGATAAATTATTTTGTTGAAATTATCAAATGAAACGGCAAAGGTTTTTTAATAAATCTTTGTCTTAATGAAAAATGAGGTCAAAATGCGTAATATTTTACTAGCAACGGCAGCATACATTTTTAATTTGCGTCGTCTATAAAGTTACCCATAAAAGACCCATCCTGGAATTTTATCGTGTTTGTTTTTCGGTATAAGGCCGCATTGATTGATAGAAAGCTACCAACTTAATGAATTGGACATTATCTTCGAATGTCCAATGATTTTCTTTAATAATAATATTTAATTGATTAAATCTTTGAGGGTAAAAAAACAATGACAGAATTTTGTTGCTCTACAACATCAAAAACGCACCAGTTATAGAAATTGAAGGGGGCTTTTTATATGATATTTATTGAACAAGGTAAAATAATTTCGGTTTAATTAATTCAATTCAATATTTCATTATTTTTCATAAAATATTTAGTTTATCGTTAACGTAATAATATTATTATGAAAAAATACTGCCGACATATGTACGAGTATATTATCGCTTCAACGGTCATGGCGGCATGGCAGTTAAAAATTGACTTCCCGGAAACTAACCACGGAGGCGTTAGTTATAGATATTTTTGATAGAAGCCACTATGATATTAAACGAAATTATTATACAAAAATACTTCATTAATCAAATAACTAAAGTAACTAATTAAAAATGCACAGTAATTAATATTAACATCTTAACTGTCCGCAAAATAGACATAATAGTTAAACAATCGAAATGTTCATATATGACTCATGGGACAGGGAAATGGTTAAGTAAATCTATAAACGTACCTGAGCGCCCAATTGCATAGGGTCTCTTGTGAGGATGTCACTGGACTTCCTAACCGCGCCATACACAAGTTCTACGTCCCGGTCTAGAATGTAACAGCGCACGTGCTCCAGAATGCACCGCAGATACGATATCGTCACTGTTTGTACCTGTTAAATTCATTCTTTTATAGGTACTACTAGCGATTTACGGGTGCATCCCTAGGTATCCTTAAACTTTTTCTAAAAAAAGCATTAGTTACTCCTTATAACATCAGCTATCGGTCAGTTTAAATTCCTTCAAAATCAGTCCAGCCGTTTCGGAGATTAGTTGGGCCAAACAAACAGACAGACAAAAATTTTAAAAATAGTTTTTTTTATAAGTATTTACCATACTATATTGTTTTATATGCATTAATAGTAAAAAGTTGTTATTTTTACATTACAAACAGACACTTCAATTTTATTTATTTGTCTATGTATACTTGTATTATGTAGTAATTAATGACTTGCAGGTTTTATTAATATTAATAATATTATCTATAAATATCGCTACCTTTTGGCATATTTCATTAGTAGCGGTAGCCTATGTGTTATTCCAGGTCATCATCTATCTGTGTACTACATTTTAATCAAAATCCATGCAGTTGTTAAAGCGTGAAAGAGTATCAAACATACATATACACAAAATTTCGCATTTATAATAGTAGTTTAATATGTATTTTGCAAACTATAAGCCAAAATAAATATTACAATAGCAAACATTCGTCGAGGCATGAAGCCGCTTCAACATCCACGTGTCGATGCCCTTTATGTCATTTCGATCACGAGCTTTATCGGTACCAACGCTTCATTAGCGTTTCAACGGATGAAAATTTGAGAACAGTTGCAGATCTCTTTAATTAACATTAACATTTTAATTAACTACATATACTAACCATAGCTATAACATAAGTAAAAAAATTGCATATTATGGACGTGAGCAGATAAACATACAAATTCAATATAAATAATTGTGGTACATAAAAACTTACAGCTGCTAGTAAAAAGTCGAAATTACAGACAGTCAGGTCTTTAAGTTTAGAGAAATCCCCCGCCAATAAGAGATGAAGCCAGGACTCTTCGACGTGACGTTGTGTAAAGGCGGCAGCTGTTCTGCTTGCAGAGTGAAACGGAGTAGAGTCTAAGAGGGCGTCGTCGTCGTCTACACAACCTATTGTTAAATATACATATTATTAAACTAAGGATGTTAGGTAAAGTAAGTAATATGTAAGGTAATTTAAGAATTGTCTCAATTGTGTTCCATTAGCGGATGTTTTTTCAAATTTTTTCATTTCAATTAAATAGAACTTTTAGTTTTACCACGTAAAAAATAAATGCTCAAAATCGGTTCGCAATCAGCAAAATATCGCGATCGAACATAAATACCTTTCAAGATTAGGAATAAATTTTAATGTAATATTATATAAGTAAATATAACATGTAGATGTTTTCATATCAGCTAATACTAGTAGGGGAGCCCAAGAGGGGATTTTCTGTAGTTACTCGAGCGCGGCAGATTAACATAAAAGAGGTTACCTTGCACTCTATTGAGTACTTTCACCATAATATAAGTCTTCTATATAAAGGGGCGCGTCTAGGGAAGCCGATTAAAATATTTAAAGTATTTTTACCTTATCAAAACATTTTTTAAATATTTTAATCGGCTTCCCTAGACGCGCCCCTTTATATAGAAGACTTATATTGTGGTGAAAGTACTCAATAGAGTGCAAGGTAACCTCTTTTATGTTAATCTGCCGCGCTCGAGTAACTACAGAAAATCCCCTCTTGGGCTCCCCTACTATACGGTTTCGAATGTAAAATTGAGAAACTTTAAACCTTATTTTGTATTTACAGTTTTATATTTATTGGTGAAACTTATTCAGCAAAATAATTTTGTATTAAAACTTATTATTCTGTCAAAATTACATTCATTCTTCTAATAATTAAAATAAAATTAGGAGTTTCATCAAGTTCCACCGTTTAAATAACTTTTGATTAGAGCTGTTTCAAAGATACTTGTCTTTGAAGGTTTAATTACTATAATTACTGGACTGATTATAACGACTCAATGATCTGCTAACATCAAGAATTATAATGAAAATTCGTTTATTCAAATATTTCTATAAAACAAGATGCTCTCAACACCGTCAACGGTGAAAACATCTAGACTGACAACACAGTCGATTGAATTGGTTCCTACAGTACATACAAATATACAATTTTTATCCACTCCTGTAACTTTCTCATACATAACATGTAAAAATAAACAAGTTTTCCAACACACAAACATAAATTTAAAAAATATTCAATGCATTCATTATACGTACTATATAAGTATTTAAGCAAAAAATATAATATACCTACAGATATAAGTTTTACTGGCTTTTTTTCTATTCCATTCACTCTCAAAATCTGGTAGAAAAATTTGAGATGACCGGTGAGAGGTTTGGAATATTCATACGTAAAGGTAAGTCTCCGAGGCATGTAACAGTGCCAACAACTCAGGACTTGTATCAAAGACCTCAATCCACTAGAATAAAATGGCGTCGAACAAAAACAACAACTACTAATACAAACCTGGTTCTTGAGTTTCAGATGTATCTGTGTCATCTGGATCGTTGAGAAAGTTGGCAAAGTGTAAAGCGGCAAGATCAGAGTGAGCATCTCGTAGTGCGCTTTGCACGCGCACGTATCGTCTCCGAGCACGCGAGCTGGCCGCCGCAGCACGCCACCGCCATGTACTACGACCCGATACTACGTTCTCGGCGATAATTGATTCTATTGAAAAAAAATAAGAAAGAGACACTACTATTATAAATGCGAAAGTTTGTATGTGTATTTGTTACTCTTTCATGCTGAAACGGGTGCACAGATTTTGATTTTAATTCGCAGATATTATGATATGATGATATACATAGAATACTACCCTAATAAAATTGAGTAGGTACCTATATTTAATTTGTAGGTGAACTGAATCTACTTATTTTAATACTTTCTTAGATTTACGCGAATATTTGACATTTTAAATAAAACTCTCTTTTCGGATTATTTCGCGTGCTTATTTTGTTTTTTTTTTGTTTCCCGACGTTTCGAATGCTTTACAGCAATCATGGTCACGGGAGAGACTAAGGTGTTAGATGTCTCGAAGGTATAGTTGTTACAGATTTGTAATAATCCGAAAAGATAGTTTTATCTACTTATTTTGAAAAATATCTGTGGGCTGAAATATTCAGAGAGCTAATCGAACTTACGATTTTGAACTTAAATTACATAAACCGAAACGTATTTAACTGCGGCAGAAGTTAACTAAAAATTTAATACGAGCCAAATATTTTTATTGCTAAACTAGTTACTTTATTTTATGCAGTATTATTTTAGATTTCAAAGTATTTCTTTGAAATAACATCTTAGTTGAAATATAAACTACTTCAAAGCGTTTATTAAAACTTGCATACACAACTTTCAACATCTCATAACATTTAAAATTTGTGTTTTAACATTAACATGAATGAACATTTTATTACTTACAAGAACTGAATGTATGAAATGCACTGATCTATATTAATTTCTAATACAGAATAAGTAAATCTCATCATTTTCTTGGAAGTTATAGTTCTGGGAATAAAACGAGAATATTTTGGATGCTATCCTAAACAGTAAACACACCAGTGACATTTATAAGTTTAATATTAATAGCCATACTTTATATCTATCGTATTATATATCGTAACGAATAAAGGAAAAATATAGTAAAAAAGATTTGAAGATAGCAAAGACCATTGTGTACAGTTCACATCCGTACACTTTTTGGTAACAATACTAAAAGTAAATCCAATGTAAGTAACTTTACGATATAATAGTATGTAGTTGATTTACATCCATCAAAATCATCAAACAAAACACGTTATTGCTACTTCGAATAGTTATAGAAGGACTTTTGGTAGAGTAGATAATAGCCTCTACTACTAAAGAAAATATAGTACATAGATGGAGCTAACCACAAAAAAACGTCAAAGTCAAAAATAGTACCGTGATTTGCTGTTTATGGTACTATTTGTTTACTTTCTTTAAAGAAAAAGTGAAAATTTATACAGTTATTAGGCCTTTATTTACAATTTTTGAAAAGAAAATTGAATAAAAGTAAATAATAAAAATGATTTAAGATACAAATTATTTATATATCTTATATATAACTTACTCATCATATATTTGGCGACACACAATGTAGAGAAGTTGAAATTCGCATCCTTAAGTGTAATAACAGCCTCACTATTACTGGTTGGCATCAAAAGTTCCAAAAGCTCCAGCTCCGTCAAACCGAATTCCGAACAAGTTAAATAACCTAGAACAGAACAAAATTAAAGTTTTATTAACACATACATAAAAATTAATCATGTATTTGCAATACAGCATGTTTCATTAAATTTAATTCTTATTTAATTATTTTGTTAAATATAATAATATTTTTTAACAGGAATTATTCTATGTATAGTATAAGCCTTGAGGATACTGATAATTTAATTGAACTCCTATAATCCCTTTAGGAGTAATCAGGTAAAATTAATTCTGATTTTTCCACCAATTTTATGGTAATGTGTATTAAATGGCGATTATAATACAGTATTTTAGACAATAAAATTGTAACAGGATTAAATTATTTATTGTTTTTTTTTGTGAAAAATCATAGAAATCAAATGAAAGTTATATGAATTTATGTGTATTATTTTAATGAAACACTGCTTGAGAAGAATTGGACGGATTTTAATAAAAGCGTAAAATGAAACATAGATTCAATTTTTATTACAATCGATTCAGTAGATCTATACATACGAGTACATATATATTGAGGAAACTCCTCGTCCTCTGCTATTGAATGTCTATAGAGCGGAGCAGGTATTTCATGTGTAAAGAGCAGGGCAGCTATGTTTAGAAGTTGTGGATAATGTTTATAAAACAAATATGTAGGCGGAACTGTAAAATATGGCTAGTATATAACAAAATCAAAACAACATTACCAGCCAATTTGCTAAATGCTTTGGAACCGAAGACAACTTCTAAATTATCAAAGGCACCGTCAATAAAATCTCCAGAGCTATTATTATCTGGTGTTTCTTCGATCGCGTCCAACAAGTAGTAACAGTTTTGAACTTTAAACTTTTCTTTTTGAGCTGGCGTTAATTGTAGTTGTTCCAACGATACCGAGCTAGTACATACTAGGAACACGTTTCTTGGCAATGACATTGGGAGCCAAGACAGTCCAGTCACAATATCACATTCTAAAGGGTTAACTCTGTGCACGTTGTCGATAAAAATTAGCAAGACTTCATTCTCCATATCCTCACATCGTTTGAGCAAACTTTGAAACCAATTATTTATGTATAAGGGATCGAAACTCGCGTCTTTTGGCAGATAGCCTTCGGGAATGTTCAAGATTATAGATATTTGTTGGCACATCACTCTCAATAGTTCCAAATTGTAGGCCGATCTTGGCGTGGACGCGGAAAACCGTATTATTCTCAACACAGGCTTAGAAAATATCTCTTCGAATTTGAAGTATAGATGAGTCAGCAAGGTACTTTTGCCGGAAGCATCAGGTCCGTATATCAAGACGGGGGGATGTCGTGATTTGCTTTGGTAGTTTTCTTTTGCGTTATCTAATATATTCTTAGCAGCGTCTTCAATTTGCTTATCACTAACGCTATTTAAACGATTATGTTCTATACAAATTCTAAGATGGGTTATGTGTTCCAGAAATACTTCCTACAACAATTGTTTAAAATATATTAAAAAAAGTAAATAAAAATACGGATGATGTAAATAATGTATGTACTGGTATAACTATGATGATGTTCTCCTAGCCGATTCCAGCTACGGCGGCCAATCTCATTGAGATAAGCCAACTGCGCAGGAGATATTATAGTGCTCAAGTGTACGTGCAGACACAAGTGCACTCTCTATTCCTATCACTCTCATACTCTGGTGGGACGGCCACTCGACACGACCGGTGAGAGTGTCGGCGCAGGACCGACGGCTTTACGTGCTCTCCGAGGCACGGAGGTGAATCAACGCCAACTTCCCAACTCCGGGCTGTTACTGAGACTTACTATACAGAAAGTCTCAATAACTAAACTTGGCCCGACCCGGGACTCGAACCCAGGACCTCCGGGTGTGCAGCCGTACATGCTAGCCACTACACCACCGAGGCAGTCAATACTAAAAAAAAGGTATAACTATATAAGATGGCTTAATGCATTTATATTCTATTCGTACCTGGACAGTCTTTTTCCTTCCTTTACCCTGATCAGGTTCAGTACTGAGGCTGTCATCGACCAGCGAACTCACTACAGTCTGTACGCCATCTCTGAATGGAGATAGTTTCTCTTCCGTATCCGATGCTGCGTCTGTCCGAGATGAATCTGCTGATATTGCTCTAAAGGAACAATTTACAACATATCTTAAAACTTTTGTCCATATCTTTTTTATTTGAAAATATTAGGTAGGTATTGAATATTAAAACCTCAATATATCTACATCATGTTTGTTTGTTATTATTGTTTTACAAGAACTTCCCACATGTGTTTCGTTATAATAATGCATTTATAAAATTATTCCAATGAAAAGTTTTGTAGGTGCAGTATAAAATTAATTACTCTGTCAATATTGAATTACAAGCCCGAGCTGTAGCTTTATCATCCTATACTTCGAATACGTAAAGCACGAAATTTCATTACAGAATGTATTGATTTTCAACATGATTTTATCAATCATAAATAAAATAAATATTTATAAACTGTCTATCTGTGTATTTTTCTATATTTCATACCTAATGGAGAATATGGCTATGCTAAAAAGTTGATATTGACACCTGCACAATACCGTAACTCAGGATGGTAGCAGTTTTAAATTTAGACTTCAAATGCCACGCTGCAATGTAGGCGCAGAAAGTAACGTATCGTATAATAAACAATTTCCGCAGCAATACATTATTCTAATACATTTATTTTGCACTAGCAGTACCCGCGACTTCGCCCGCGTTTTATCTTCCGATATAAACATCAGTTTTACAATAATGTATGGAAGTCTACCCGATTTGTGGACAATTATGATTACTGCTCCGCTCCCTTTGGTAGTAGCATGATGATATATAGCCTATCGCCTTCCTCAATAAACGAGCTATCTAATGCAAGAAGATTTTTTAAATTTGGATTAATAGTTCCGGAGATTTAGAGTCCGGCGTTCAAACAAACTCTATCTCTTATAAGTATAAGTATAGATTTAAGTGTTTATTGTATTTTTTTTATTTTACATATTGGGATATCGTAGGTTCGTTACAAGGCAGCCATTGAGAATCATTGGTCCTGGGCTGAGACTGACTGGCATTCTGGTGATAGTGCACTGTTGTAGACATGGATGTTTATTTTGTTTACTGTTATGTTTTTTCCGTTAACGGTGTACTTTCAAAAATTTTTGTTCCATTCGTTTATTTATAAATAAGAAATTAATTAGCTTCATTTAAAAAAAAATGAGTTACAATATTGTACTTCAGAAGCGTCGATAAAGAAAATAACAAGCTCACGATTTCTCCTGGGACATTGCAAAAGGTAACTGAAGGGTTGGTAGTTAGGGTTGAGAAAAGCGAAGTTGGTATTTAATAAAAACTTACTCTAGCCTAATAACGTGCGTTTCCGGTAATAGATCTTCTAACTTCTTCTGTAACTTTTTTAATCTTTGATGAGCTAATACTGTTAGTTTGGAGTCATCTGGTTCCAAATCTGGAATGTCTCGCAACACAGCAATAAGACCTTTCGGATGTTTTCCATTTTTTAGTAATTCTGTAACAATTATTATTATTCTTATTGACTATTTTATATAATTGAATTTGCTGAGTTTTCAATTTCCAAATAAAGGCTATGCATTATCTAAAATATAGCATTTTTAAATTGAATGTGTAGCAGAAACTATCGAAAAAAATATTTATAAAACTATATTTTTTAATTAATGATTAGATAAATAAATAAATTAATAAATACACTTTATGCTGTAAATGACTTTATTTGATGATTGAAAAATGAGCGCTGCAGTTAAGAAGGAAATATATTATCAAACTATAAAAACTACCGACTAGGTACGATTTAATGGTTAGGATGAAATAGATTATATATAGCCTTCCTCAATAAACAGGCTATCTAATGCAAAATAATTTTTCAAATCAGATTAGTAGTTCCTGAGATTATCTATAAGACTTCCTGAGATTAGGTATAGATATAATTTAAACTTATCTATAAAAACATATTCACAATATCATTGTCATAAAATATCATTCAAAGAAACAAACAAACAAACTGACTCTTTATAATATTAGCTATACTAATATTTTATCTATATAAAATACTCTATCCCAAGAACTAAGCATTTCTTATAAACTGTCAATAGCACATAAAAAGATATTTCTTGATAAAAATGTGTCTATAAAATACACTATATTATATACAATATAATTATTAATTTCTATTTACTCCATTTTCATAGGGACGGACTGTGATTATATTTCATGGAACCTGTATGTTTATTTATTTCTTATTACTACGAGTATAATGATTATGATTGCGGTTGAACCTTAATAAATATAATAATACCATGGATGTAGAGTCAAGTGAGTTGATTTTAGATTTCGTAATAAGATCACCACCGTAACATATTTATATGAGATCACTTTGCTTTACATTTACTTAAGAGTTAAAAAACACATACGAGGAACCAACCACCTTTTATTTAGATTGGCGGTTAGAAAATCGCAAATCGGTTGTCAAATTATAGATTAATATAATATAATTAGTGCTCATACTGCAATAATATTATTAATATAATTTGACGACACGTTTGGCTCAGTTTGTAGTGACCTTATTTGCAGTGCCAGCGGTCGCGGGTTCGAGTCCCGCTGGGGGCATTCATTTGTGTGATGAGCACGAATGTTTGTACTCCAGTCATAGGTGTTTATATTTATAGTATGTATTTAAAGTTATATATGTGTAATGTATCAACTATCTGGTGTTCATGACAGCCTCGTAGTCTGTAGCCTCGTGTTGATGTCCCAACATAAAAAAAAAATACTTTAAAGAGCTATCGTTCAAAAATTATTGAGTCATATTTTGGTTGTTAGTACTCATTTTACAAATTAGTCCATTTGTCAGTCGACAATTTTGGGTGATCATGATATATACAGATATGACAATATCTACCATTTTCTTATTGTCCTTATAAAACAAAATAATAGATTTTTAGCTAGGATGGCGGACCCGATAGGATTTTTATTGTAGAAGCACAAAAAGTCGCAGTTACTTATCGCAAACCGACAAAAGACGTAAAATATATTTTAACGGAGTGTCTTTTCGTCCTTTAATAGGACGAAAAAGGATGAATAGACTAATAAATAAGTAAGTAGAATAAGTAGCTCGGCTCTGCTCAGTAGGTTAAGGTTATTTTTTTTTGTATATAGAAACTCCTGCACCTTAAAATGACTTATTTCACATTAGAAAACAAAAAAAGTGGTTAATATCGAACAAATCAACAATAGTTGGACGAATAATATTTTTTTTATTCATCTGATTATTGGACGAATAGCAACAGCATTCTTTATTTATTATTCATCCTATTATAGTACGAATAATTATTAAATAACAAAAAGCAACAATATTGCACTCCCTTTAACCCATGAGTTATGTAGAAATTCGTAGCGACGGACCGAACGGATTACCAACATAAAATGAAATACCTCTGAGAATGTACTGAGTTATTAATATTGTATCAAATAAAGGACGGGCATCGGCTACCTGTCCCAACGATATATTACGTGATGTAAAGCAACCATATTTCAAAGTGTTACTATGTGATACGTAATATTATTTACTATAGAAGTTTTAGTTATGCACTAGTGTTTTCCCGTGGCACCGCACGAATTGTTTAAATATAATTTTTGAAGATATAAATCCACTATATTTATAAAAATTATAGCCTATATGTTACTCTGTTGTATAAGGTTTATTATTGTAGTTTCATCAAAATCTGTTCAGTAATTTTCTATCTATCCTCACACATAGGATTTTATAATACTAGTGACTCACCTTCGCTTCACTTCGGGTTCGTCCGTAGACAAAAACCTATCTATCTCACAGGATCTGTACATTTTTCCGGGTTAAAATTTAACTTATGTTCTATTCTATCTCTGTGCCATATTTAATCTAGATCTGTTCAGCCGTTCTGGCATGAAAGAATAACAAAAAATCCATCCGTACGTCCTCACGAACTATCACATTTATAATATTAGTAGGGATTTAAAATATTTTGTAATATTATGATCAAATTCTATGTAAAATGAAAAAAAACACCAATATAAAAAAAATCTATTTAAATTTTAAAATGAGTAAAAAATTTAATTAATTGTTATTTTTTTCTTCTTCTCTTTTAATTTAGTAATAAAAATAATAGAAAAAGTAAAACACAATTAATTTAAAGTTTTAGATGGCACATAAAACATTACCATCTGTCGATAAAACATTCTCGCATGAAACGAAATGAAAATATAAAGTTTATAAGGTGCAAGTTTATTTTTGTTTTATTCGAAGCAATCAACAAGTGACTGTGAGCGTGGCGATATTTCAATGCACCGTAGTCGTTGTTTCCAGGGAATTAGGTTAACTATTGGACTATTCTGATTAAAACATGCGGAGAATTGTTTTTTTTATTTATTCTTTCAGGTCAGAGCTTTTAATGTTACACTACAATACTATCTAGACGGCATTTTAAATATTATTCTATGGTAATTGGCAACGGTATTAAAATTGAATTGAAAATTGTGGGAATATTTTGGCATCGTGGAAATATTTCCAATAGATACTAACTTTTGCTCTGAATAGATTTTACGAGTATCGATAAGAGAAGTTATAATTCTACAACCATTGAAGAGAAAATATCGAATTTCCATTGAAGAAATTCAAAACTTCAAAAATTTTCCATATCGAAAAAATAAATGGGAATGAAATGTAATGATTCTATGACAACAATTAAAATCAATACAATTTTTAATTAAAATTTCTATTCTTTAACTTATGTAAAATAACATCTTATCTAAGCCCCTCGAATTTTGAACGCGCCTAACACACTTAATTTATATGAGAATTTTTTTGATCTAAATATAATTTATTATAATAATTACATTAAATTTATAACAGCAAATCAACACGTGTGATATTTGTTGAAAACGATAAAACAGTGATAAACATAAGTTATTCTTGGCATAGCTTTAAAATCAAAAACTAATAATACAAACAACGACCGACTCACCAAGTGCGGTTTCGCATTGCACTTCGACAGCACTTCGCAGCAGTTCGATAACGTTTGCTCCCTCTTCTAGCGCTTCAAGAGCTAACGTATTAAAAACTTTTTGAACTGTCGTTAGCCGCTTCCGTTGTTCTTCCCGTTCTATTAAATCACTGTACCTGGTAAAAGAAAACAAGTGGTTTTATTCAATTCGAAGAATTCCATGTTGATTATGTATTGATAATTTGATCAATTTTTGACATCTTTATATATATAATTCTTCTGTGAGTGTGTATGTCACTGAACTTCTCTCAAACGACTGGACCGATTTTGATGAAATTTTTTGTGTGTGTTCAAGGGGATCTGGGAATGGTTTAGATTCACAATTTGAATAATAATTTTCATCAAAAAAATTATTAAAAAAAGTTTGAAATTTTCAAATTAAAGACGTGTAGACAGGACAACGTCTGTCGGGTCCGCTAGTTTTTATATAATCGACAACAAATTATATCAAAAAAATATATCGATCGCCAGAAATTCTATTATAATTTAGTATGATTGAACCCAAAAAATAAACTTCTTATATGAATAAAACCCAAAACGAAATATGCCTGGTCGCGTGGTTGGGTCCCAAATAGTTTGTGATCCAATTCGTGATAACCTTTTACGTACCAACATAAGCATTATGGCGGAGGGTCAGAATGTATTGAATAATGCAGGTAATCTTGCCTTTCCGTACATTTCGTAGGGGCTTTTTTCATTTTGGCAATAAAAGATAACCTTAATCTTTCAGCTGAAGCAATATTTATGTATAGATCCCTTTTAGCGTTCTTAAATAGCCGTCTTTACGATTGTTCGGAGTAATCAAGTCGTATTCAAGAAAAATATTGTTACCTTTTATAATCAACATAACTTGCATTCCGAGTCGAGTTGCGAAAAATAACGTAAACAGAACAAAAGAATGCTCTTCATATTCCACGATTTATATCACTTTCCTTAATTACAGTGACAAATAGCGACCCTCCGGAATTAGAATTGCTGCCACGGAAAGTATAAATAATTTGACAATAATAGATGCGGTAGCGAATTTTTGTGACGTTGATAAGTAGATTTAATTTCGTCTCGAGAAACTCGATTAGGAATATGTTGAATTATTCAAGAACGTAATTAAAATTATACGATACTGTTTATAACAAATTTTGAAGAATATCGATTAAATAATTTTCTAATTTAAACTTTGGCGATCTAAACTATTCGTGTCAATTAGACTTAAGTTATCTAAGCTTTACATTTTGTTTTGACAGTTCGATTGGGATACACTTGTCATTGTTACGATGCGTCTGTTTGAAATTGATTTAGTAGATGAAATGCAATATGCTAAACAAAATAAATATATGGATGTTATCTTTCTATAAAAATCTAGAAAAAGAAGATAAAATAAAATAAAATATAACAAAGTTGTTTTACAATACATCATCATAATACGAAAGGATTTTTTTGTACTACGTACCATTTCTCTTCACCCTCCAAATGATACATGCCATCACCATTCAGTTTATAGCAAGTCCTTATGAGTTTTGTTTGAGCTGAGTCCGATTTGATCAATTGTTCAAAAATTTCTGCCTTGATCTTAAATGGCAGTACTGGCTGGTAACTTGACGCATCACCTCCAATAAAACACTAAAAAAATACTTATCTTTTAACATTACATACATATTGTATGAAATATAGTGTCATATATATCTGACATATACTTCAATGAAGTTAGCCGCTGATCGAGCAGATAGTGCACAGGCTGTGCACAAAAACCAGTGTACTTTCTATTTTCTCATTGTCAAAGTCGATGAGTCTATACTTTGGCAGGACTAACAGCTTTACATGTAGGTATACGTTAGCCACTAGATACGAGGAAGCAGTATCCTATATACTTACTTATGTAATATGTATATTGAATATTTAATTATAAATGAAGTAAAACATATTTAATTATCAAATGAGTGATAACAAAAAAACCTAAGCAATTCAATACATTTCAAAATAGATGAAGAAATAAAAAATATTTTAACATATTATATTTATCATGCATTATTTATTATATATATATATATATATATATATATATATATATATATATACAAAATTATGTATACAACACTACTTCTATAAGCAACTAAATAATTGTACCTAATTAATAAGAATGAAGAATGTATAAATTTTATACGTTCATGGTAATCTGAGTATTTATTCCCTGTATGGAAATACAAATGAAATATTATCATTATTATGTAAAAAATTAAATTAACATCAACAGAGACTTTTTAAGGAACGAACGATCACTCGAAACAAAGGCTACTTATCCGAAAAAGGTCTGATGTAATTGACCCAATTGTATAGTAATTGGATATACTGTTTCAATAATTGTGCCTTTCTTTTCAAGTTAATTTGTGCGAACGTTCTATAATTATATTTAATTATATAAATCAGTCTATAATTAATGTTACAAAGATATTATTAAAATAATAGATATTATGTAATATATATATAAATTTAATATACATAAATGTAAAATATATATAAATATCCTTAAATATTAAAATGTAAGAATAATAACTGTGAGACTCTGATCCCACAAACAAACTGTGCAAACAGTTTTGTGGGTCCATTGCAAAATTAAAAGTATATCATATAGTGTGATAATTAAAAAAAAAAAATTGAAATGATACATTGTATATAGCTAACAGTTTGACGTTTATAATCATTATTTAATAATAATAATAACTTTATTCATAAATAAGGAAGTTGAACATAGAACATAGTAATTTTTACAGTAAAGACTTGTACAATTCAGTTTCATACAGTTGGGTGAAGTACTGTACTCCTTGCTAGGTCATAAATATAATCTATTATTTAAAAAAGAATTTTATTATTTATAAGTACAATTCAAATTGATTCTTTTATACAAGTGGTGGAACGGTAAAGTAGGTCAAATTCAAACATAAATGAAAAAGGCAATACCAGAAAATATCCCGCTTTCGAAGTCATGTTACAGCAGCGTATTTCATCCAGATAGTACCGTAGCAACGCGGGGTTGGTCTCGTCCCCACCGTCAGCGCCATAATGCATGTCCACGAATTCGAACTATGACAAAAAATACATTTTAAGTTACATTTTACAAAGAATTATTTCTTAAAATCTAATATATAAAAATCTCGTGTCACGGTGTTTGTGGTCGCACTCTTCCGAAACGGCCCGACCGATTTTAATGATTTTTTTTATATATTTGGTAGGTATGAGAATAGTCGTAAAGTACTTTTCACCCTCCTATCCCCACCCTCCACTTTTAATTATACACGATTTTAGTATTTATGTATGAACAATATTACCTATATAAATACATAGCGAAGTACCTGAGTGAGGCGAGGGTGAGTCGCTGTATATCATAAAGCCAAAGAGTTTTTCTTGTATATTGAACGCGGGCGAAGCCGCGGGTTCTGCTAGTTAACTTATATTTTTTTTTTTATAATCAAATAATTCACGTTATAATTATTAGCATGTTATATACATAGCGCGCCTTTTATATAAAAGATTAATAATTATAAGGAATAGATAAAAAATATACTGACAAACGGGCATGTGCGTTTGTCAGTAATAAACATACAGGCACACACATAAGTGAGCCTTTAAGGGTTCCAGTTTTTCGTTTGAGGTAGGTACAGAAATCCCCAAAATTAGCAAACATTCTCACAGACTGACTATGCTGGCGCTCTTTAATTTAAATTTACGATTCAAAAGTGCTTGAATCAGTCTAATTGATAAAGTTTTATCTCATTACATTTTACTTCAGTTAGTGATTTCATTGAAAATGTTCAGATTTTATTTAATACAGAGTTCATCAGAAATCGTGTTCTTAGGGTCCCATACTTCATAATTAAAAAAAAAACTTTGTGTTTACTAAATATATGCAGGCTAGTATTGTATGTATTCAGACTTTTTAACGTCCCATTGCTGGACACGGGCAGGATCTGGTCATAGACCACCACGCTGGCCAAGTGCGGGTTGGCGGACTTCACATGTCTTTCGAAAACTTGCTAGGTTCTCTCAGACATGCAGGTTTCCACGATGTTTTCCTTCAACGTAAGACAAGTGGTAATCATATTAGGAATGATTCACATATGAAAATATCAGAGGTGCGAGACCCGGGATTTGAACTCGGTTCACTCGGTTTCCCAAGCGAGCGCGTTACCACTGGGCTGCCACTGCCTTTTATTGCAACTTAACAGTATTTAAATTGAAGAAATCAGTAACAAAATATAATAGTCACAATAAAAAATTGGAGCTGTACATATTACTTGGCTTATAACTTCGGTGAATTTAGTTCATTCCAATATATTGTATGGTAACTACTTCAAAGTTAACGCGTCAGGACTCTCGCTTCAACGCTAGTCGTGACAAAGTTAGTATGACGCAAATCCTCTCGTACAAGTTCTTCGAATGATGTCGTGTTAGACTTATTAAGTTTATTACGGACTAGCGGCTCACCCTAGCTTCGCTCGGGGTTGACTCTAGACAAACAAAAATCAATATATCCCACGGGAACCGTATATTTTTCTGGGATAAAAAGTAACTTATTTGTTCTTTTGATGTATGAACACTATTACTGTAAAGTTTCATTGAAATCCAATCAGTAGTTTTTGTGTACTAAGCTGTATGTATTTGTTACTATAGTTTTTTAACAATCCCACAGGAACTCTTTAATTTTCCAGGATAAAAGTATCTAAAACGTTGACTGGGGATATAAGGTACCACCATGACAAATTTAATTTAAAGGGGTCCAACAGTTTCGGAGATTAGCCCGTACAAATAAACAAACAGACAGAGAAACAAAAAAATTAAAAAAAAAACTGGATTTGTTTTATTTTTTACATGCCCCTGACTTGGTTTTTAACATTTTTTTCCTATGTACAGACATTCGATCTCTACAGTTTTATTATATGTAGAGATAACTAAATTTTATTAGATAGTATAGTGTTATATGTATGTATGAGAATATGTTGTATATACATACAACATATTCGATTTGTATTAGTATTCGATGTGTATATGTATGAAAAATTAAACATATTATGATCATCGTCACGATTAATTCTTTATCTGTTTACTAGCGGACCCGACAGACGTTGTCCTGTCTACACGTCTTTAATTTGAAAATTTCAAACTTTTTTTAATAATTTTTTTGATGAAAATTATTATTTAAATTGTGAATCTAAACCATTCCCAGATCCCCTTGAACACACACAAAAAATTTCATCAAAATCGGTCCAGTCGTTTGAGAGAAGTTCAGTGACATACACACTCACAGAAGAATTATATATATAAAGATTTGATTTTGTATAAATTTACATAAGGAAAAGTTGAAATATGTATAATGTATAACTAACACAAACACTCTTAAAAATGCAAAAGATTTTAAGTTATTATGTAAGTGCGTGTTTTGTGGGTAAAAACATACATAAGTATGTACACATACTCGTATATTTTTTACTACTTACGCTGTAGTGGCTCAGTGAATTTGAGGAAGGAAGCTCAGGGAGAGCCTGAGCTCTGGCGAAAACTAATCATGAGGCATCTAAAGAGGCAGAGTTTGTTTTTTTTTGTTTGTGTGAACACGCTAATCCCAGGAACTACTAATCCTACTTGAAAAATTCTTTTTGCATTAGATAACCTGTTTATTAGCCCGTTTATTGAGGAGGATTATAGGCTATCACATCTATCTCATAAATTTGGTAAGAAGATAGTTTAAGAGCCTGGGAAGGACATAGGATAGGTACTTTTTATCCCGGAAATCATCCCTCAAGGGGGTGAAAATGAGGATGAAAGTTTGTATAGGGAAACAAGATAGGGACAAACCCAGGCGAAGCGAGGTTGAGTCGCTAGTATAATAATTAATCGTAGTCTATCTATACCATACTAACCGTTAAAACATACCCAGGGACGACCCCGAGCGAAGCGAGGTTGATTCGCTCGTCTTAAATAAAATGACTCGCATTAACGCAACACAACCATTTTTATTTTTAATAGTTCAATAAATCTATCATCATTAAAAATAAAATAATATAATATAAATAAAATATTATATATAAAATAAAATATTTTTATAATCATAACAAAGGTAGGGATTAAGACTGGATCAGTTTTTCCTCAAAATTGCTGCCGGCTGCGTAATATCTCAATCGGTAGTTCTCGCACAAAAGCTGCCACGTGGGCTTCCATCAGTTGAACTGTCTATAAATAGAGCAATTATAAACACTTGTATATACACCAACGGTACTACTGGCTATAACTTGACATCAATGAGTAGACATAGGCTACAAAATGGCAGACAGATGATTAAATTTTAAGTATGTAATTAAATTTTTATCCGATTTCGTCAATAGGATGGTCATGTTTTTTAAGTGTTAGGTACTTCATGGATATTATGAAACGACATTCATTTTAGATATGTGAGTGACAAAGGCTATAAAATACTACGTGGCATTGGTAATGTAAGCTGTGCTTGAAAGTGGCACGCTTTGAAGCTATTAACAAGAAAATGGAATTGAATTGAAAGGCCATAAAATATATTATGATTTAACGTTTACGCCAATAATAGATAAAAAGGATCTTTTTCATTTTTAGGGTTCCGTAGTTAACAAGGAATCCTTATAGTTTTGCCATGTCCGCCTGTCTGTCTGCAGCTTAGCTCAGAGACTCTTAGTACTAGAAAGCTGTAATTTGTTATGGATATATACCTATGTACATATTAGTCACGCCGACAAAGTAGTAAAATTAAGTATTGAAAAATTTTATTTTACGGTACCTCCTCTACATGTAAAGTGGGTATGTTTTTTTCTCTCTCGTCTACCTATTAGTGGGGTATGTCGTCGGATAGGTCTTTCAACAATATTGCAGGGTAGTGAAAACAATTTTTTGATTAAGGAATCCGATTGTGAAATATTTAACTTTAAAGTGCTAATGTTTGCTAAAGTCCAGGGAGGAGACATTTACTATAATTTACACCAATTTAAATTGAAGTGACAACTGAAGTTTACAAATGGTTAAATCGCTCTGAAACTAGTTAAGTTAAAAGTTAGTTATGTAAGTTTTTGGATCGTTTCGGACCTCGAAACGATTTTATGAATCCCATTTGTACAAGCTATTCATATATGTATAGTATAAGCTATCCATATATCCATAGCGTTAGTGCTTATTTATATTTAAAATTATTAAGGTGTTTCTTAACAAAACCTTTCTTTATAAAACGCAAAGTTATTCACAACGCTTTTGTTTAGTATGTAGATGTATATTCTGCTTTGATTAGGATAAAGCACGGCGATGTATAACAACGACACGCAGTATATCTACTCGTATACATATAATAAAATTGTAACTAAGCCGAATCTGTACATTAAATATATTTTGGAAAATCTTATTGAAATAGACATTATCATCGATACAGAGGCCGAATGTATATTTTTTAGAATTTTTGTCTGTCTGTCTGTCTGTCCGTCACCGCATCACGGAAAAACCACTGGAGGGATTTTTATAGGATACTTTTTACCGTGGGAAAATATCTCATTGCTGAGAAAAAAAAACTGCAATGAAAGAGTATACTAATATGTACAACCTAAGAATTTAGTTTTTGGTCATCTGAACGCGGGCGGAGCCGCGGGCAACGCTTGTCTTTTATATTAACAAAACAATACTGTAGCGTTAAAATTTTAGTATTTATTTATTTAGTAAATAAGGAGGATTTCATACTTTTTTTAGCAAGAACGAAATACTAAAAATGTGTAACTATACTCAGATGACCTGACCTACATTTAAATTAATTAGTTTTTGTATATCCGAGAATGTCTTGACACTGTTGTTGATCTTATTCGTTACATAGACCTTATCCAGTGAGTCCCACATATGTACTGTATTGTAGGCACTGTATGCATTCCAGGTGGTATGCGTAATACATTTCCCAACCTTAAAAAAATGATCCTCGACCCTCTCAACAACTCCTGCGAGCAGTCCTGCAGGGGCAGGCCACAACAACCATGGGGTTCCTCCAACGGTCATCTCTGCTATCATAAATTACCAGGAGCAACCCACGTGGTACACACCCATCGAAGTGGGCCACCACCCAGTGTATCTCTTTTCTATACGCCCACATGCTCTGCTGGACGCTACAGTTTGTTAAAAAAAAACTTAGTTAACCTTCACTCAAGTCAAACATAAAAAAAGTGATTAGAATCATGTAATCTAGTATGTACCTCTTCGATTAACAACTTAGTAGTTATTGATCACAATATTCCATCGGGAATAACAGCAAAACCTACTAACTTCTTATATACACATTTCCGGGCCAAGTTTTTCTTCACCGCACGTGATAAATTACAAATTAAGTAGCAAAGTTCGTAAAAACTCAGAGGGGTGCTTTCTTGGACTTAAAGCTGTAAACATTACGGAATTTATGTTTTAGACACTAAGTACGTAAGGTATATCACACATTAATTTAGTGAAAATAAAGATGGAATGCTGTTTTTATTTAACCATTTTCCTTTGTTCTTTTATATGAAAGAAGTTTGCGAACGGCTGGACCCATTTGGCTAATTCCTTTTATTAAGTGTTTGTAATAGTTCGAGTGAGGTCCTTAGGGGAAAAATAAACACGCTGACCGGGAAATTGAGGATTTTAGGGAAAACTGAAAGTACTTTTTCTATAGGATCTTTGTATGAAATCAAAAATTACAAAAAAAATGAAGTTTGGACATAACTAGATCTGAAAGTTAGTAAATAAACCCTTATTAGCTTCATAATTCATTTCTTTAGAGTATTTTCATTGTTACTTCTTTACTTCTTTGGCACAAATGTCATATTATTATAGTATCAGAATCATTATTATATTCTTTATTGCACTTAAAATGTGATACAGAAAAAAAAACAACAATAAACATAGTTCACAAAGGTGGACTTATCTCTAAAAGAGGTCTCTTCCAGTCAACCTTTGGATGTGGAAGAAGATGTTAGCGGGCAATATAGTGCAAATAATATACTAAATGTATACTAGAAATAAAATTATCAATATTATAGTAATATCAATATCATCATTATTTTGAACTCGCTAACACTTGTGACATTACTCATCTTTGCGAATCTATATTCCAAAAGACTCAACTTTTATCTCTGCATTTAATCATTCGCTTAAAATAAAATTTGATTAAACGTCCCACAAACATGCAAAAAGTAATTTTCGAATAATATGATTATAAATAGACGGACAATGTGACAGATAAAATTTTTAAATATTGTATAGTGGCGAGCCATAGGAGAGGCCTATGTCTAGCAGTGGACGAAAGCAGGCTAAATATGATGATGATGATAGTAATGTATACATATATGTCGTATCAAGTCCCAAACTTTCCTTAAATATGTGCATAATATAATTGATTCGCTTTAATTATTTTCAATTGTGCTTTCTTTATTTACCGTTTGTCATTCTTATTTATATATCTTCCTTTTTGTATCTTATTCCTATGATTTTTAACGTTTTTTTCCTATATTCTATTATTTTGGTAATAATAAAATATATAGTCATATAAAAAGTATCCATATTTTTTTTACCTTATATATTTGTAATGTCATAAATAATTTTTTTTAAACATTTGATTTTATTATATGTATAGTAGAATATTTTATTATTAAACACCTTTATTTTAATATTCTGAAGCTACACAAATACAATGAAACACGAAACCTGGTTATACTTTACTATAGGTAGTACAGGGTATTAAGAAAATTCCTTTACAAAAGCTAAAGTAACAAGATATGCTTTAGAATTACCCCGACGTCGAAAGTAATACTCGTAGCATAAGTTTACTGAACAAAGCTATGCAATTACATCCGTGACGTTTTCGATAGTGCATTTTTAATTTGTGGCTTATTTTCTATAATGTTTTTTTTTTAAAATTGAGTCAAGATCAAGTGAGAGTCATAGATGAACAGCGTTGTGAATTGTTCCCATATTTATTTTTAGTATTTTTGGAAGTGAAGTGGAGAAAATGTAGTTTTGTAAAAAAAATCTAATTAATTAATATTTAATACTTTTAATAGTTAATACTTCGTTAACATTTAATAATTCGAAATTTTTTTTTCTAATAATTAATTATATTATATACTAGCATTGCCCGCGACTCCGCCCGCGTTCAGATGACCAAAAACGAAATTCTTAGTTTTTCCTATTACTATACTCTTACATTGCAGTTTTTGTATTTTTTCTCATAAATGAGATATTTTCCCGCGGTAAAAAATATCCTATATGTTGACCCGGTTACCAGCTATCACCATACCAAATTTCATCAAAATCTGTCCAGTAGTTTTCTCGTAATGCGGTAACAGACAGACAGACAAAAATTCTAAAAACGATAGATTCGGCCTCTGTATCGATAATATTGTTTATTTCAATAAGATTTTCTAAAAAGTATTTAATGTACAGATTCGGCTTAGCTACAATTTTATTATATGTATAGATTGATTATATTTACCTCAATATACCGGTCATCGTACGTAGTTTGTAATTCAGGGCCCACTAATTCAAGAATCTGACGTCTCTCCTCTCGAAAATCTGTAAAAAATATTTGATATGAAGATTTTCAAATGAAACTCAGCAGCAATATCTATAAATTAATATAACTTAACTAATAAATATTGCTATTCTAAACCTAATTTTAAAATCTTTACGGAAATAATATGCAAGACAAAGACTAATTTTAGTTCATTTTGTTTTTACATTCACTCTGGTAATACAGAATTCATTAATAGCTCTTCCTAACATGTGCATTTGCTAATAGGTTTAAACTTGAAAGGCTTAGCCAGCTGAATCTGAGTCTCACAGTGTACTTTTGGTCTAACGCTATACAGAGGAAACGTATTGGAATCATTACTTGCGCAATGTTCATTAAATTAATCAATTAATTTTATTAATTTAGCGGTTAATTTAATTAGACACATTAATATATGGTATAATTTTAATTAAAGTCCAAGTATCTTACACATAGCACAGGCTTGGTAGTTACGAAAGCAAAATTGTGTCACTAATTTTGTTGCTCATAGATAAACCAACGCAAAGCTTAAATGTTTACAGTACCTCGGTATATCAGCTACGAGATGTGAATTCAAATACCGTTATATAGCAAAAATTTTAATCAGCTAATTAATATGACATTTTATAATAATAATATGACCTATTTTTATACATCTTTCGTAATAACTTATAAACTAAATATATCCCATAAACTCAAACTATGGACGGACAGACAGACAAATTTATTATAAGGATTCCGATTTTTATTGGATATACGAAACCTAGCAAATTTTTGAAAGACATGTGAAGTCCGCCAATCAGCACTTGACCAGCGTGGTGGACTATTTCCTGATCCTCCTAGTATTGAAGGGAGGCCCATGCCCAGCAGTGGGACGTTAAAAAGGGCTGAATATATACGAATACTACTAAAGGTTAATAAAACATCTTACCATTGTAAACAGACGCTACATAGATTTTAACAGCCCTAGGTCCTGGCCACTTGTCGCTCTGCTCAGTGTAGCCCTGTAGTGCTTGAAGCACCAAAGGCTCCGGAGCGCTCATCGCGCCCACTCTCCTTCACCCTGCGCTCATACTATATCACGGCATTCTGTGAACAAAATACGTTGAATATTGTTAATAATAGGTAAAAATAATGTTAAAATGATACTTTAAGGAAGTTATTTACAATGATTTTCAATTTTTTTGTAGAATTTTTCGATCTCGTATGAGAAAAATTTTTATAAGGTTTTTTGGCATGTTTCTATAAATTTAGGTGTTTAAATTCACAGTTCTTATACTAAATGTGAATCCACTAACCATTTTGTTAAATAAGAGTAATAGGAACTAAAGTTGCTAAAGAAATTACCTACGTAGTTATTGTTATAAAACTATCTTTTCGGATATTTTTCGGATTTATTTTGATTTTCGGTTCCCGACGTTTCAAATGTTTTACAACAATCATGGTCACGGGAGAGACCATGATTGCTGTAAAGCATTTGAAACATTGAATGCTTTACAGCAATCATGGTCGAGAAAATATCATATATTCGCGTTAATCTAAGAAAGTTTAAATTACGTAGTTTTAAATTTTAATAAATTTAATTATAAATAGATATTGTTAGTTAAGTATTTGAACATATATTTTTTTTAAAGAAAAGGGAAATACTTTAAAGTTAACAGACAGCAAAGATACATATGTATGCGCTTAACAGAAGAATATCGTAAGAATTTACATTATTGATTGCACGTTTTTCCAATGATGAGGGCAGATGCGGAATAAAAGAATTTTCCTTTTGACGCTATGAAACTAGGTAAATGTATTGAGCACTGTTACATATTTTTTTCCTTACATCTCATATGTGTAATTATATTTGTTTACCAGATTACCTGCTAATGTTTAAATGTTGCTAAGAAAAATAAGTAATAAAAAAGTAGTAATATTTACATATCGATATAAATATGTAAAACTATGTAATATTTTCATTAGTTACATCAATCGCATGCTTCTCCAATTGGTAGAAAAATGCGCTGAATTGTTTCGCTCTATACTTTCCAGTTGTTTGAAGAGCTTATATAACTTATTATTGTACTAACACTTGTATGCCTCCTACAAACATCCTCTGGGGCTTAAGGTGTTGAACGAAATATAAAACAGCGATGGTCCTTGAAAACCTTTATACATATATTATTACTAGCAGAAACCGTAGCTTCGCTCGCGCTAAAACGGCAAAAAATCTCTAAAAAGGTAGTTTTATACAAAATTTTATCCCCTATGTAGCCCCATAGGATGAATTTCGAAAAATGCTAAAACACGTTAATTAATTGTATTGAAGAGAATTTATACCAAGTTTCAAGTAATTCTGATCATAAATATTTTTAACCGACTTCCAAAAAGGAGGAGGTTCTCTATTCATCGGAATCTTTTCTTTTTTTTATGTATGTTCACCAATTACTCGAAGACGCCTGAACCGATTTGGATTTTTTTTGTTTCAAAGGGTATACTTCTCAAAAAAATCAACAATAAATATAGTTTTTAAATAAATTGTTTAATCGAATATGTTATTAAAAAACTTTCTTCTTACAATTTACCTGCTCATTACGGTTACACTAAAAATGGAATTATAACGTGTTTTCCCGCGGGAAAGAGATAATCTTCCGCGGTAATAAGTAGCCTATGTCACTCTCCAGCTCTCCAACTATCTCCATACAAAAAAATCACGGTTATCCGCCAAGCCGTTTCGTTGTGAAAGAAAGACCAAACACACTTTCACATTTATAATATTAAGTATTTTCACATTTTATAATATTGAGTTGTGTTCGCTTTGTCTACGCATACCCTTACTGCGTTTGTCACGTCTTACATTTTTTAATAATCTTTACACCAAGAGAGAATTTCAAAACTGTCATATACCACTTAACAAATTAACGTTCCTTACGTACGTCAACTCGTTACATTTTTGTTGTATAAAAATAGGATAAACCAACAAATAAAATAAGGATAAATAAATATTTTCATAATATCCATAATTCATAGAAGTAAACAAAGTAAATACTTAAATATAATATTAGAATTTTGAAAAACTAATTTGTGAATGTATTTCATAATTTCTAAATGGTACTTATCTCGAGTGTAATAGAAAAGATAAGGGAGTAGCGCTTTCGCAGATGGCGCTACAAGCACAAAGGAATCTAATGAAAAACAGCTTGAATACCTATTCGTTATTATACGCCTTTTTCCGCTTCTTGTATAGACAAAATTTATTGACTGTATTTATCTTCTGAATTCATTGCTTTTATTTTGTCTTGTTTTATTATTAACTAGCGGATCACTCTCGCTTCGCTTGAGTTTGTCCTTAGGTTCGTCCCAAGTTCGTCGTTCGTACGTTTTAACGGTTAGTATTGAATAGATATATTATATTACTGCTCCGCGTCCTTGGGTAGTAGCATGATGATTTATAGCCTATAGCCTTCTTCAATAAAAAGGCTATCTAATGCAAAAATAATTTTTGAAATCGGATAAGTAGTTCCTGAGATTAGTGCGTTAAAACAAATAAAACAACAAACAAACAAACTCAGCAAAGCTTATGTCTGCAGCAAAAACGTAGAACTTTCATATAAATTTGCTTTTAGACCCTTGCTTGCTTAATTCGGCCTGTCATTCATAGCTGACGTATTCTGTCTATAAACTACCTACCTGCCAAATTTCAGCCTCGTGGTCAAGTCATTTTCAAAATTTCGCATTCAGACAGTGAGTAAATGAGCTTTCGCTTGTATAGATAGCCTAATAAAAAGACGACAATTATTTTACATATTAGATATTTTAATAAACGAAGCTTTAAAGCTTAATCTTCCAAAGTCTTTTTCTAATTTGCAAATATATTCTTTGGCGTATGAAATAAACAACAATAGGGAGGTAAAGTAACGCGTAGCGATCTTGCAAATGTCGCTCGGAATACAAAGCGATATAATCAAAAACAACTCGAATACTCGTTATTATAAGCCTTTTTATAACTCCCTCACTGAATGGAAGATTTATGAAGAGTGCCTTTAATACCTGCTTTCGTTGTGGGATAAGCCTAGATCGCGCTCATTTATTATCGTTGGGTTTTATCTTCTATGTATAAATAGGTTAAGGCAAAACAGTTCAGTATCTTTTTCTCTTCTGCTTGTCAACCGATTTTCTTGTTTTATTTAGTGACTAGCATTGCTCGCGGCACCAAATTCTTAGGCTTTATATATTAGTATACTCTTACATTGCAGTTTTTGTATTTTTCTCAAAAATGAGATATTTTCTCGCGGTAAAAAGTATCCTATATGTTGACCCGGATAACCAGCTATCATCATACCAAATTTCATCAAAATCTGTCGAGCGGTTTTCTCGTGATGCGGTAACAGACAGACAGACAGACAGACAAAAATTCTAAAAACTATAGATTCGGACTCTATATCGATAATAATGTCTATTTCAATTAGATTTTCCAAAAAAAAAAATTTAATTTACAGATTCGACTTAGTTACAATTTTATTATATGTATAGATAGATATCAACAAATATATTTGGATATAGTTTTTGAAGTTATATGTACTTCTTTTGGTACGTTTGGAAAAAAATATGAAAGTAACATTTTTACGATGCGCGCGCACACCGACAGCCAAAAAGCGAGATGATGAGTTAGCTGCATTCCTTTTACAAACAGACTTGTGACATACGGGATGAAATGTTTAGCTATTTTTGTTCTATTACGCCAAAGAAGTATAACTTCTTACGTGCGTATATAAGTAAGCACGCACGTTATTTTATATATGTATGTAGATAAATTCTATTAATATAATATGGTTTCATCAAATTTTCAATAATAATGTCCTTCTGACCCATTTCGGCCACGGCGGCCAATCTCACTGAGACTAGCCAGATGCGCAGAAGATATTATGTACTGATAAAATCTTAACAGAAGAACTCAGTAATTAAACTTGGTCCGAACCAGGACCCGAACCCAGAACCTTCGGATCTGCAGCCGTACATGCTAGCCACTAAACCTAGTCGCTAGGCGAATACTAGTTAAATGATACATACATTTGTTACAGATGCTTTCTGAAGGTACTATATAAAGTACTGAATATAATTAGGTAGTTCTATATAAAAATGCGTATAGAGGTAAAGTTTGTGAGATTGTGTGTTTGTGAGTTTCTGACGTTCTAGGGAGTGATCTCTGTATCTACTGAACCGATTTAGATGAAATTTGGTATACAGATAGTTTGAGACTTTGGGAAGGACATAGGATTTTTTATCCCAGAAATTATACCTCAAGTGGTTGAAAATGGGGATGAAAGTTTGGATGGGTAATCAAGATAGGGACTTAACCCGAGCGAAATGAGGTTGAGTCGCTGGTAACTAATAATTTGATGGCTGTAATCATTTCGAAACGTGGGAGTACGATGTTGACTCGCGTATCAAGGGTTCTCTGCCGCTGAATATCATGTTGTGTTTACTAACATATGTATTTACACACTAAAATATTTTTTTACGCTTTCGCAATAAGTACTTCATTATTTGCAAAAATAAGTTCGCGTTTCATATTATGTCTTTAACATATTGTGGATAACAAATTTAATTTTAGCGATCGTAATTCAAATTATCCACTATCTTAAAAGTATATCTTAAAAATATATCTTAAATATATATATATATATATATATATATATATATATATATATTTAAGATATATATATACTCCATCTTTCCAAAGTTAGGAAGACAGTATAATGATAGAACTCGCATACAATGTTTACTACTTTAGAATCATGTAACTCGGCTAATATGAGTTTTATATAAACATTATCCCCCGTTTACTTCTTTAAGGGATACATCTATACATATAATAAAATTGTAAGTAAGCCGAATCTGTATATTACCAGTTACCAGTAGAGGGATTTTGATGCAATTTGGTATGGTGATAGCTGGTTATCCGGGTCAACATATAGGATAATTTTTACCGCGAAAATATCTCATTTCTGATAAAAAATACAAAAACTACAATGTAAGAGTATACCTATGTAAAACC